GTACATGGCAGGATTTTTAAAGAATTTATTTGTAAATCAGGGTGGAAAATAAGTATTTGGTCAATAACAAAAATTCAACTCAATACCTTGTAACATAACCTTTGTTGGCAATAACTGAGGTCAAACAATTACTATAGGTCTTTACCAGGTTTGCACACACAGTAGCTGGTATTTTGGCCCATTCCTCCATGCAGATCTTCTCGAGAGCAGTGATGTTTTGGGGCTGTCGCCGAGCAACACAGACTTTCAACTCCCTCCACAGATTTTCTATGGAGTTGAGGTCTGGAGACTGGCTGGGCCACTCCAGGACTTTCAAATGCTTCTTACGGAGCCACTCCTTTGTTGCCCGGGCGGTGTGTTAGGGATCATTGTCGTGTTGGAAGACCCAGCCACGTTTCATCTTCAAAGCTCTCACTGATGGAAGGAGGTTTTGGCTCAGAATCTCACGATACATGGCCCCATTCATTCTGTCCTTAACACGGATCAGTCGTCCTGTCCCCTTAGCAGAAAAACAGCCCCAAAGCATGATGTTCCCACCCCCATGCTTCACAGTAGGTATGGTGTTCTTGGGATGCAACTCAGTATTCTTCTTCCTCCAAACACGACAAGTTGAGTTTATACCAAAAAGTTCTACTTTGGTTTCATCTGACCACATGACATTCTCCCAATCCTCTGCTGTATCATCCATGTGCTCTCTGGCAAACTTCAGACGGGCCTGGACATGCACTGGCTTCAGCAGCGGAACACGTCTGGCACTGCAGGATTTGATTCCCTGCCATTGTAGTGCGTTACTGATGGTGACCTTTGTTACTGTGGTCCCAGCTCTCTGCAGGTCATTCACCAGGTCCCCCCGTGTGGTTCTGGGATTCTTGCTCACCGTTCTCATGATCATTTTGACCCCACGGGATGAGATCTTGCGTGGAGCCCCAGATCGAGGGAGATTATCAGTGGTCTTGTATGTCTTCCATTTTCTGATAATTGCTCCCACAGTTGATTTTGTCACACCAAGCTGCTTGCCTATTGTAGATTCCCTCTTCCCAGTCTGGTGCAGGTCTACAACTCTTTTCCTGGTGTCCTTCGAAAGCTCTTTGGTCTTGGCCATAGTGGGGTTTGGAGTCTGACTGTTTGAGGCTGTGGACAGGTGTCTTTTATACAGATAGAGTTCAAACAGGTGCCATTAATACAGGTAACGAGTGGAGGACAGAGAAGCTTCTTAAAGAAGACGCTACAGGTCTGTGAGAGCCAGAGATTTTCCTTGTTTGAAGTGACCAAAAACTTATTTTCCACCCTGATTTACAAATAAATTCTTTAAAAATCCTGCCATGTGAATTCATGGATTTTTTTTCATTCTGTCTCTCACAGTTGAAGTGTACCTATGATGTAAATTACTGACCTCTGTCATCATTTTAAGTGGGAGAACTTGCACAATCGGTGGCTGACTAAATACTTTTTTGCCCCACTGTATTGGATTCATTCCACACAACTGAAGTAGTTCAAGCCTTTTATTGTTTCTAATATTGATGATTTTGGCGTACAGCTCATGAAAACCCAAAATTCCTATCTAAAAAAATTGGCATATTTCATCCGAACAATAAAAGAAAAGTGTTTTTAATACAAAATAAGTCAACCTTCAAATAATTATGTTCAGTTATGCACTCAATACTTGGTCGGGAATTCTTTTGCAGACATGACTGCTTCAGTGCGGCGTGGCATGGAGGCAATCAGCCTGTGGCACTGCTGAGGTGTTATGGAGGCCCAGGATGCTTCGATAGCGGCCTTAAGCTCATCCGAGTGTTGGGTCTTGCGTCTCTCAACTTTCTCTTCACAATATCCCACAGGTTCTCTACGGGGTTCAGGTCAGGAGAGTTGGCAGGCCAAGTGAGCACAGTAATACCATGGTCAGTAAACCATTCACCAGTGGTGTTGGCACTGTGAGCAGGTGCCAGGTCGTGCTGAAAAATGAAATCTTCATCTCCATAAAGCTTTTCAGCAGATGGAAGCATGAAGTGCTCTCAAATCTCCTGATGGCTAGCTGCATTGACCCTGCCCTTGATCAAACACAGTGGACCAACACCAGCAGCTGACATGGCGCCCCAGACCATCACTGACTGTGGGTACTTGACACTGGACTTCAGGCATGTTGGCATTTCCCTCTGCCCAGTCTTCCTCCAGACTCTGGCACCTTGATTTCCGGATGACGTGCAAAATTTGCTTTCATCCGAAAAAAGCACTTTGGACCACTGAGCACCAGTCCAGTGCTGTTTCTCTGTAGTCCAGGTCAGGCGCTTCTGCCGCTGTTTCTGGTTCAAATGTGGCTAGACCTGGGGAATGCAGCACCTGTAGCCCATTTCCTGCACACGCCTGTACACGGTGGCTCTGGATGTTTCTACTCCAGACTCAGTCCACTGCCTCCGCAGGTCCCCCAAGGTCTGGAATCGGTCCTTCTCCACTATCAGGGTCCGGTCACCTCTTCTGGTTGTGCAGCGTTTTCTGCCACACTTTCTCCTTCCCACACACTTCCCACTGAGGTGCCTTGATACAGCACTCTGGGAACAGCCTATTCATTCAGAAATGTCTTTCTGTGTCTTACCCTCTTGCTTGAGGGTGTCAACGATGGCTTTCTGGACAGCAGTCAGGTCAGTGGTCTTACCCGTGATTGCGGTTTTGAGTAGTGAACCAGGCTGGGAGTTTTTAAAAGCCTCAGGAATCTTTTGCAGGTTTTTTAAAGTTAGTTGATTCAGATGATTAGGTTAATAACTCGTTAATAGCTTTTTGAGACAGGAATTTTGGGTTTTCATGAGCTGTACGCCAAAATCATCAATATTAGAAACAAAAGGCTTGAACTACTTTAGTTGTGTGTATTGAATCTAATGTATATGAAAGTCTAATGTAAATCAGTAAATCAGACAATAATGAACTTTATCTTTATGCTAATTTTTTGAGAAGGACCTGTATTTATCCTTAGATCAAACATGTTTAACTGCAAGCTGTGCTCATTGCTTGGCAACCAGAATAAGCATGAAAGATTGACATTTATAGCTCTGGTTGTAGGAAATAGTTTGATCTTTCTCATTTAATGAGTAGCTACGCTATGGATCAGATTTTTCTAGTCGTGTTCTGTGGCGGTGCTTCTTTAGCCGTGTTGAATTCTGGGACGGGTAAATTGATGGTCAGGTCCTCTCAGCTGTTGTCTCTATTCAATTTCAGCCTTTTTAAGGACTTCAGTCAGCATATCGTGACTGCTTCAGGTGTAAGTGTCACTGATCAGTGGCAAAGAGCATTCACAGTAACATTAAAAGTTTTAATTGGTCGAAGTCCATTCAGAGGATGAGAGCAGCTGTGTGATGCAAAATGTGATGTTCAGTGACCATAAGCTTGTTTTTACGGAGCTCTGTAAGACAACAGATTCCTGTGAATTACATCGTTGTGGGGGAATTTCACCAAGTTCTCCGGTGTTGGGAGTTTAGTAACGGCAATTTTAAAGCTTTGCTTTCTTTTCCCCCTTCAATTTTATTTATAAAGCGCCAAATTACGACAAGAGTCGTCTCAAGGCACTTCACATAATAAACATTTCAATACAGGTCAGGTCATTAAGCCAATCAGAAATAATGTTTCCTATATAAGGAACCCAGCAGGTTGCATCGAGTCACTGACTAGTGCCAGTGACTATACAGCAATCCTCATACTAAGCAAGAATATAGCGACAGTGGAGAGGAAAACTCCCTTTTAACAGGAAGAAACTTCCAGAGGATCCTGGCTCAGTATAAGCAGCCATCCTCCACGACTCACTGGGGATCGAGAAGACAGAGCGCACACACACACGCGCACACACGCGCACACACACACACACACACACACACACACACACACACACACACACACACACACACACACACACACACACACACACACCAAGACGCAGCGGCATAATGGGACCAGCTGTTTCCCGAACCTACTTCCTCACCGGAGGAGCTCCCCTTTTATAGCAGCAGCGCCCTCATACGGGCATTAAGGGGTTGGATTGGGGGGTTAAACCACCAAATAGTTCCCGAGCGCGGCTTGTCTGCAGCTCACCGCTCCCCCAGGGGATGGGTCATATGCGGAGAATAAATTTCACCACACACCTGTGTGTGTGACGACTAAATGGGACTTTAATCTTTAATCTTAATACGTACGGAGGGCGTACTGCTCTAGACCAATAAAATTGGAGCATGCATTTCGTACTGCTACATTACTATTTATATTATAAATAATGAACAAATGAGTGGCAAACCTTTATCAAGCCTAAAATGCAGGTTTTCTTGTTTTTATGCTGAAGCGGCAGCAGGAGGTCAAAGTGACCCCCGTGTTGGTTTAGCGTTGGAGATCACTCGCAGGTTTTGTGCAATCTGGGTGCAATGCTTTCTGTTTGTCTAAGCCACGCCCACTGCCAGATGTCATGGCAGGCTGGTTAGTTACTGATTGACATTTGTTCTGGTCTCAGATGTTGGTCTCCTGTTTGTCTTTTAGTTTGTTGAAGGATCGTTTGAGAAGTACCTGGAGCGTCTGGAGGACCCAAAGGTGAACGGCTGTGTGTGTGTCTAGCCACACCTGTACACAGCTGGGCCAAGTTTGCTCATGTGTGTGTGTGTGTGTGTTTGCAGGAGACGGTGGGTCAGGTAGAGATCAAGGCGCTGTCTCAACTATATAGGTAAACTCAACACACCTGTTGACCTGTTCTGATACCAACTTCATCGAGTCACATAGGTTTGAGTTGGTTCCTGTTTCACATGTAGACGGTGCTTCTTGATCTATCGTTACCCCGGGAAACCAGCCACCATCATCTCGGAGGATGACTTCTTGGACCAGGTGAGGAAAATTTGTTGTCATGGAAACCGGATCGGGGACTAGCTGGACTCTGATTGGCTGCTGTCTCCTGTGTTGCCCAGGTGATGCTGTGCTGCTCCATTAATGGTCACTATGACATTATATACCCAAGAAGTTACCTCACCTCTGCCGCGCTCTGCCAGTGTGAGTGTCACAACAAACTCATCAGTTGAATGTTGGTGTCTCACCTACTCAGGTGTGTAACTCTGTGATCAGCTCTCTTGTTCGAGCTGCTCTACACCCAGGTGTTTGGGTTGGAAGAAGAGGAGCTCAGTCTGGCCATGGAGGCCTTCAAGATGGGAGGTCGTCGCTATAGAAACAGTCTTTCAGTGTGCAGCGACATTGATGTTGGTTACGACACACTCGAGGACCGCGGCTACAGGTAGAAACACCGACGGTGACTCTTGGAGCATTTTATTTGCTCGGCTTCTGCTCAGAGGTTCTACGTGTCTTATTCACCCATTTTTCCATTAAATCTCCTGTGGGGATAAAAGCTCTGGCTTTCCTGTTTTAGGAAGTAGAAGTTAGTCAGAGGAGTGGGTCAGGGGCTGGGGGGGGGGGGCGACAGGATTACAATTATTCATGATATGCAAATGTGTCTCCTCATTGGCTAACAGCAACGCGACTCTTCCGCTGCCTTTATTCCTTCTTTCTTGTTTAAAAATGCAACATTGAGGAGTTATCCCCACAAATAACACAAGACTGAACATTTTCCACCATGTTGTGGAGCTGCTAATGCTAATGGTTAGCTTCTATCTGAGACAAAGGCCTTGTTCGAGTTGAGCAGCACCTCGCCTGGAAAACAGACGCAGCAGGGGGCGTGGCTGAAAGCCGGCGTTTTAAGTCGGACACATTTCCCTACATGTGTAGCTCGCGGGCAGAGGTGTCAAATAACAAGTAGATACTTTGGTTATTTATATTTTACTGGAGTAATTATTTTTTAGCCTTCTTTATACTTGTACTCCCTTACATTTTCACACAATTATGGGTACTTTCTACTCCTTACTTTAAAAAAATAACCTCGTTACTCTCACTTCATTTCGGCTTGTCGTCGGTGATAAACAAAGGTTTGATTGTGGTTGGATGAGACCTACCATTCCGACATGCTATTGGTCAGCGCAACTGCACGTGACACAAATCATGTGACACTCCAGGATGTAAGACCAGTGTTGCCAGATGTACGATAATTATCGTATTTGTACCATAATTTTGGGCTCTGTACGATGTACGATCAATAGTTTCAAAAATCCTCAAATGTACGATAATTTCACATTGCATCTAGTGACACCGTCTTTTGCTGTGGCTTTCCCAAGTCCATTACATAATTTTAAACTGTTCTGAAGTCAGATTTCACCTCAGTGCTTACAGGTTTATGCTATTGTGTCTATTACAAAAACTGACTCTGGGTCTATGTACAATAAATAGCCCAATCACATCGATAGGGCCTATTCTCGCGAGAAACTGTAAGGTTATAAAATTTGGCAGTGGCCCGCCAGTTTTTGCTGTTTGCCTGCGAGCGTGCCGAGTTAAGTCTAATCTAGGAGGACAGAGCGATGAGACAATGGCTTCTAATCTTAAAAGAAAAACCAGAGAAGGGACGGATGAAGGTAATGCAAAGCAACACCGGACACAAGCTTATCGTCCTGCATGGGAGTTATTATCAAATTTATAATGTACGATAATTTGTACTGAAAAACGATAATTTAGGCCTCTCTGTACGATATTGTGGGATTTTGGATCTGGCAACACTGTGTAAGACCGTTAGCAAATGTATGTAGCAGTAGCGTTGGGCGAAGAGGCAAAAGAACTCGCTAACAAGACGTCTGAACCAAGTACCCGTGAGGATGGCGCTGATAGCCTGGAAGACGAGCCAACCCCTGTACATCCCTGGCCATACCTGGAAGAATTTTTTGAAGTGGTTGGATGCAAAAACAACTCATTTCGAATGCGCTGCAAGCTCTGTGCACCCAAGTACCACGAGCTGATGGCTTCAAAACTCACCGTCTAACTTGAAAAAGCATATTGAGGTAAGCTAAAAGTTTCATATTATCACTCGATTATTGACTAAATAATGTAGTAACCTAGTAACATAATAATGGTAAATTTTCAATGTTTGCCATGCCATGCCTGGGTGCATGCTATGGCTTGCTTACTAGCAGTAATCTATGATTTAATGTTGCAAGTTCGTTTTATTGGCTTTGTTTGACATTTTAAATTAGACTAGTCTTATATTATCCAAGCTTATATTGTTGCTATATGCAATACTTCGAAGTTATTTAAAATTGTGCAAATCTGTAGTCTACATCTGGTTGATGAAGCATGTACTACTATAGGCGTGATCCTGTCTGTGTACGAGTGTGTGCTCAGGCCCTGAGTGTCTTTGTTAAGAGGTTATCGGCCAAATTCAGTTGAAATTAAATTAAAGTCATGTGGGGGACCACAAAGAGTCCACACTCACACCCAGGTTCTTTTGACTGTTTGAACGTAAATGTTGTCGACGTCTTGTTGCTGCCGACTCAGAGCAGAGAGCTTAGAGTTGGAGAACCAAAGATAAGAATGAAACCTACCTTTGTGTAAACCAATGACATGCACACTTTCTACAAAATGAAATAACTCCAACCATCTTCTGGCCTGACAACATTCCTGCCATGCAAATGTACAGTAAATGTGCGAGTGTGCACGAGTAGTTGGTTTGTTTGCAAAACGAAAGCAGCGGGACAAAGCAACGGCCAGGAGTTCTAGTGGGTCACCAGAATAACATTTCCTCAGTAAGCTAGTGTTGGGTCTGCTCAACATAATTGCATAGTCCAGTGAAAATGCTCCTTATGAACCTCAATCTGTGTCTGTGCATTCATTTTCTCCACAGAAGAAACACCCCACTCGTCTAGAGAGGTACACGCAACTTACAAAAGCCGCTCTCAAAAGGAAGTCATCCACTGAAGCTTTCTTGCCCACACCCTCCAAGCAAAGCAAGCTGTGGGAAACTCGAAGAGTGTCCCTCCCAGGAAAGTGTGGATCAAGTAGTCCTCAAATTCATTGTCCAAGGCTTGCACCCACCACACACTGTTCAACAACAGGGCTTCATTGATCTTGTGGAGCATCTTCAGCCGAAAACAAATGTCGTGACACGCAACACTGCTGTAAGCAAAGTCACAAAGGCATCTGCAGGAATGACAACTGAAAGCTGACCTTAGTGAAACTGAGTTCATAGCAACAGCAACAGACTGCTGGACAGCACACCGTCGCAGTTTCATTGGTGTTACTGCACACTGGTTTAACCCCGAGACCATGCAAAGACTCTGTGCTGCCCTGGCATGCAAGCAACTTACAGGGCCGCATACCTTTTCTGCCCTGGCTGGTGCCCTAAATGATACCCACACAGAATTTAACATCAGAGAGAAGATCGTTCGCTCCACAACTGACAACGGCTCAAACTTCCTGAAGGCCTTCAGAGTTAAAGGGTAGACTGACGACAACCATCCTGAATCTGTAGGGGACGGTAATGAAGATGATGATGATAGTGGCCAAAAAGATGATGATGAAGAGGAGGAAAGCATTGAGTGTTGAATTTGTTGATGCTGGAGCCCTTTGAGAACCAGGTGCTTTTGCAACTGAACAAACCCTATTGGTAACTGTATGTTCTGTGTGTGTGGACTGTAGGCCCTGCGGCATGACCCAAGCTTATTAATGTCATTAATGTAATTTTTATTCCCTTACATCTACTTTTTTACTTTAGTTTTGAAAGCAGTACTTTTTATACTTTTACCTGAATGAAAAGCTTGAGTAGATACTTAAACTTCTAAAAGTCTTTTGAAAACCTTGTATCCATACTTTTACTTGAGTAATGAATGTGAGTACTTTTGACACAACTGCTCGCGGGTGACGATGGATGAAGATGATCACGTTAGAGTTCATACTTGTTTATTTATTTTAATTCTGGTGCCTGTTAGCAGCTGATCCTCACGTGCTTGTGGATATCATATATCGTATATGGAGACATGACTGTAATAATAAGTAAAGGTTATCAGCTGTAGCTTCAGTGTGCTCATAGGAAACATGACAAAAGAACACAAAACACATTCCTCTTTATGGCCTATATAGTTGTCATCATCAACATAACATGATTTACAGAATACATGTGACCAACTAACATTTCATGTTCTACCACCGGATGTTTGGATCAAAATATGAACCAATCAGATCTTAGATCAGGTGAGAGCCAGGCGTTTCCCGTCATGCCCTAGGTTTTGTAGCCGGTGGAGAGCAACTGCAGCGCCTTGCTCTAAAATCTGCGGCCGCCTTGATCTCACGAGGTTATCGTTGCCTACGTAGGCATGACGTCAGAGCACGTCGTACACAAATATAACCGGCATGCACCGCGCGCCGCTCACCGCTGATCTAATCTGCGCTGAACTGGCTCATCTCGAACAAGGCCACACTCTGCTCTCTCCTTCCTGTGTGCAGTCCTAAGTCAAGGTGGGCAGGGCCACAAATGCTAATTCTCCGTGTTTTAGAGGCAGGAAAAAGTGTTGAAGAAATGTTTCTTTAAAGCTTCAGTGTTCTTGTGGTCACCTGGTCAGGTGTGTTTGTTTAACCTGCAGAGAGGAGACTGAGACAGGTGTAACAGCTGAGGAAAAACCCCCAGCTGGATCAGATGACACAAAGGTAAGAGCCTATCCCGAGGCTCCGCTGGTACCTCTACATGAAACCAATCTCAAACAGGAAGTAGAAATTTGCATCATGTGACAGAGAAAGAGATCTGTGAGCTGTTTACTTTTTGTGGATTGTGATGATCCCTCTCCTGTGGTATTCTGGTCTTCCTGATTAGACCGTTGAAACTTTCGAACAACAACCTTCTCTGTTGTCTTTTAACATTATTGTTGTTTAGCCTCCCTCAGAAGCCCCGCCCCCCTCCAGACTGTCTTTGCCTTACAAAGTGCTGAAGTCTTTGGATGGGGATGTTTACAGAAACCTGGAGTTCGATGTGTGGCAGGACACCTGTAAAGGTAAGGCAGGAAGTCAGAATCTCATGTGGACATGTCTGATGATGAAGAGGTCGTAGGGTTTTCCTCTTGTCTGCCCTAGAGCTGGGCAGTATATCCATATTTTAAAAATCAACATCATTTCAGACAAGAAACACCATTTATGTTGATATAACTAGTCAGGCTGTTGGCATTAGTGACTAGTGCTAGCTGCTAATGCTAACAGCTAGCTTGGTCTGTCTCTAAGCGGCCATTACATGTATTCTAACGCATCTGCTTGATCAGGAAACCTCTGGGTCAACGTTTTGCTCTAAACTTTGCATTTGACTTTGGTTGGCAGTCACTCAATTAAAAACAGTTCTTTTTGTCCTGTTTGTGAGAGGCGGGCTAAACACCGCCCTAGTCAGGAAACGCCTATGGAGAGCAGTGAGGCCCAAATAGCGGGAGTGTAATCCTGAGCAGTGGATGCAAATGCATCATAAATTAAGCTTTACCTTTTTTGTGTGAAGAAATTCCTGGTAAGTTTGTGGGTGATGGAACATGAGCCACCTCTAGATTTACGTGCTTCCAAGGTGGTACAGCTTCTTAAAGGAACATGAATGTTGCCAACCTTCACACAATTTTCATGTTTTTATCATAAACAAAATGAGAATCCGCACACTTAAATCTGCGATGTAGGAGTTTTATCAGTCAAGCTTTCGGTCAGAAGCTCTAGATCTCGCTTCCCCTCTGGGTCAGGCAGGCATCCTCCCTTGGTGTTTTTAAATCTCACCAACAATCTTGCACGTTGTTATTCTCAGGCTTTAAATCTTTAATTGCTCTTTTGAAAACTTATTCTCTTTAATATTTTAGTAGAATGTCTTTTCTATTAGTGTCCTTGTGCCAATTTAAATGCTATATCTCATCAGTGGTTATTTTAGCTAAACCTGTCTGTTTTCTTACTTTTTGTCTGTTTTTACAAATTTTAAGCACTTTGGTTAGCTGTGTTGAAAGGCCTCTATATATAACAGGGGTGTCAAACTCAAACTCACACGGGGCCGAAATGAAACTCTGGGACGGAGTCGAGGGCCGAACTTAATATTTTTTGAAAAAGTGACGGCAAATTTGCACATTTTCTTTATCAACATATATGCAATTTTGATCCTTTAAATTTGGAAACAAACTTATTTCTGCATTAACACTGAATGTGGAATAACCAAATTACACACGAGCAAGTCAGTTTTAGATAAAAGGCATCAGTAGTATTCATTACTTGTGGTATAATCAGCATTTTATAAATCTATTCAGGATTTATGTTTTCTTGTTTATTCATTTTTCTTATTTTTATTCTCCTTTTTTCCTCCTGTAATACGTGTCATCGCTGCTGTGACGTCTATCTTTCCCCACTGAGGAACAATAAAGGGATTTTCTATTCTATTCATCTATCTGCAGCCTTTCCACTTCCTGTTTACTGTAGGTTAAATCTTTTCTCACGGGCCAACAACAAAATAAAATATCATTTAATCTTAAATGAAAATGCAACATCTCACCTGTTAACTTTCATGTTTTGGAGCAGAAAAAGAGCATCAAACCAACATATTTAAAGCTCAGTTTGCTCCACTGGTTTACTGTGATGCTCACCTGTTCCAGCCAGATACCTGCATCATGGGGTTGATCTGAGCTGAGGAGGAGACTCCTGTTGTTTTGTTCATCTTCATCATAATAATGACAACATTAGATGACAACAGGTGCTCACATAGGTTTGTGCTGATGAACATGTCTGAGCAGCTTGACCACGTTGTTGTGTGTCGGGGAGGAAACACGACCACAGAGCCGTGCTGGTTTGAGCGTGTCGCTGCTCGCTGGAGTTACATCAGCTCTGTCTGGAAGTTAGTTGGAACACTTTTTCTTTCAGTCGTGAACACATTACTGAGCGGCTAGAATCTCCGTTTCTGGGCTTCAGCGTCAGAAAACAGCTGAGTGAACTTGGCGCTGAGTGAGAGGAGTGTAGTTTGTCCGAGACAGCGGAGCTGCAGACACCCAACTACCTCTGACTGCCTCGGCGCTGAAAAAACACAAAGGAGGGTGCGCGTCTGCTCCGCGCTGGCGCCGCAAAGCATCATGGGAGTTGAAGTCTTTGCGGTAAAATCGGCCAGCGAGCCAGTTTTAATATATTTTTGATATTTATCTCGCGGGCCACATAAAAATGCTCCGCGGGCCGCATCTGGCCCGCGGGCCTTGACTCTGACATCTGTGATATATAACCTGTTATGGTAACACTATTCAATTCAAGTTTATTTATACAGCGCCAAATCAATCAGTAAAAAGTTTCCTATAAGGAACCCAGCAAACTGTATCAAGTCACTGACTAGTGTCGGTGACTTTAAAGCAATCCTCATACTAAGCAAGCATTTAGCGACAGTGGAGAGGAAAACGCCCTTTTAACAGGAAGAAACTTCGAGAGGATCCTGTGATGGGGTTTATCCAACAGCACTATTCTGCCTGACTCGGAGGGGTGTGGTTTGGTCTGACAGTCTTTTCCAACACCACAGTTCACTACCAGTTTAATTTGTTGGTCACTGATTGGCTAGGGGAGTCACTGGTTCTACAGCAGGGCTATTCGGTTCTGGGACTTGAGGGCCGGTGTCCAGCATGTTTTAGTTTTAACCCTGCTTCAGCGCACCCAATTTCAGTCAGCAGGTGATTAACAGGCTTCTGCAGAGCCCGATGAGCTGCTGCACAGGTGATTCAACCACTGAATAAAGTGTGTTGGAGCAGAGAAGTCAATAAAACGTGCTGGAGACCAGCCCTCAAAACCAGAACTTGAATAGCTCTGTTCTAGAGCATTCTGCCTGCAGCTGTTTCAAGGTTGAGTTTGGCAAAACTCCAAAGACTAAGCAGAATGTTCAAGATCACTGCCATTGTTGTGCTGGGTTGTAGTTCTGCCTGGCATCCAGATCACGCCGCGAGGAAACGGCACGAGTTCCGCCCCCTCAGCAAATGTTACGAGAAAATAACCACTTGCATTGAGGTGAGCCGTGTTGATCCACGCTGCACCAAGCTGTCTTTTGCTGAGTAGTGCTGCAGGAAAATGGCTTTAGCGAGAGGCTTGGTTTATGCATGACGCGTCCGCGAGGTTCGCACGGCTCAGCGCGGCAAAATTGCGTCATTTTTAACAACCACGCGCCTCCGCACGGCCCAAACTTTCCACAACGCGCACCTAGGAAATTTTCTAACCACGCGGACGGTCGGACGTGGAAAAACATGGCGGCCCGGCAAGAACTAGTATGGCAGAGGTTCGTAAATACAGACATTTGTTTGATTCAGCTCTCAGAGATCACCGTGATCAACATGTTGTTAATAACTCTTGGAGAGAAATAGCTCGCACTGTCGGAAAAGACGAGGACGCTGTTAAAAATGCTGGAATGCCATGTTGTAAACAGTAATTTCTACTTCTACTATGGTGTAGTGTTGGATACATGCCGTAGAGCTCCATGCTGCCCCCTACAGTTTGGGAGAATATTGGCTCACCGCAGAGACGAGCCGCATGAACCATAAACGCTGCGAGTTGTGAAGCGCGTTCCATCCGCGAGCCGAGCGGAACGTAAACGCGTCAAGCATAAACCAAGCTTTACGTGTGAGTTCAGGCCAGTGGAGGCAGAAACATTAAGGTTTGTAGTTCTGGTGAGTGCAAGAGCCTCCTAAGCTCAGGGAATGATGGCCTGGGTTCTACTATCTGTTTAGTAATCTGATTACTGCTCTGTGACAGAGATGCAGAAGATGGACTACATGGTGTTTGCAGGTCGGCAGTACTTTCTGGGAGATAAGTGTCAGGTGACCTCTCATTTCATTTAAAGTGATCAAGACCACTTTAAAAGTTGAGTCTTTAATACAAAGGTCAGGACTGGACCAGAACCAAACCCTTTGGCTTGTCGGATTTCAGGTCCGTTTGGAACCAAAGGGGAAGTACTACAACGCTTTCATCCAGGAAGTTGGAACTCACTCTGCAGCCGTCACGGTGTTCATCGAGGAGCTGGGAGAGAAGTAAAAGAACGATCAAGATCCATGGTTCAGAACCAGATCTGGACCAGAACTATGAATGGACCAGAACGCTGAGGGTCTGACATATTTATCATATTGATGTGAATGTGTTTGGTTTTCAGGCACCTAGTCCCTCTGACCGATCTCAAACCAGTTAATCCAGTCCCGGCTTGGAACATTTCGGGGCCCGCCAGGAAGGGAGATCTAGGTAGGGTTCTGGTCCTGGTTCTGATCGTTTTAAACCTTCTGACCCAATCATTTTTCTTACAGACTCAGACTCACGAAGCCAACGCCATCATCGCCATCGGTACTTTAGGAAGTCTCGGGGTAGCAGCAGTGTAAAGGGGGCGGAGTTACTGATGCTATCTCCTCCTTATGGAGGCCACACCCCCTCTGCTCTCCCTCCTCGCTTCCAACCTGCAGGTCATCCCCGCCCACCAATTCCACCATCACCTGGAGCTTTGACCTATGACCCCTATGCCCCTCACCACCATCACCACAACCCTCCTGCAGTCAGAACCCCGCGCTATGGAGCTTCGAGGTGGGACCCCACTGTGCCCTGCCCCCTTTCCCCATTCCTCTTATCTTTAAAATCTGTTTCTGCTTTTCTTATGTTCTGGTTAGAAGTTCCACGCGATTTTTGAACCGTCACCTGATTGGTCCACAACTGACTTATTACCATGCTGGCCGGCGATATTACCATGACTACGAGAACTATGCCTTCAGGTCCCGGTAAGCATTAACCTCTTCTTCTCTGATCCTATTTTGGGTCATTCAGGACTCTGTGAACCTGGATATGTATGTTTGAAGATGTCGCCACACCATACCACACCTAGTATGGTGTGGTAAGATGTTTGACAACAGCTAAGAGTACCTGCATGAGCTCAAACAGAAACCAGGAAAAAGTCCACAAATTCTTTAGTGGGCATAGGTGGAAAGTAACAAATTACTTTTACTAACATTACTGTAATTGAGTAGTTGGTACAAATAAAAAATGGCTTTAATGCAAATCCACTTTGTTAAACTTTGTTTTTAGTATTTTACTTTGTTACATGTTCAATCATGCCTTAGTAAAAATATGTATTTAAGGCCTAATAAATAAAAAATATTGCTCTTTGCTAGCCTGACCTGCCAGACTCGTCCTTGGTTAACTCGGCACAGAGAGAGTCGGGTAACTCGCAGGAAGAGAGGCACTAGAAGGGCGGGACTAGCCAGCTCAAAAATAACCAATCAGAAACACTGAAATGCCGACTGTACTGCGTGACACTTAAGTTATAAAAGAAGTCTAGAAATGGCACAAACATCTTATTTATTTATTTTTTAGAAGAAAGGCTTTTAGCGCTTCTACTTGTTGTGGTTTTAAAGACATTCAAGTCATTTAGACCAGAGGAAAGCGCCACAGCGAACTCCGCTTCAGTCGCCATGTTAAACAAACATGGCGTTATGGTGTGTGACGTACGCTGCAAGGCGCCGATTGGCTCTGTTAGATTCTCGGGGGGGGCGGGGTTATTTGAATAAGAGTTCCCAGACCCTTTCTCTGTGCAGAATGAACAGAGGAGGAGCCTAGCGGGCCAGGCTAGCTCTTTGCAGCATCGGAAAAGAAATGCCGGCAGGGGCACCGCGCCTCACCTCAGGTTGGATGAGTGTTCTCTTTCTAATGGGGGGGGAGGTTAAACACCCACACTCATCTGCAGTTTGCTCAGAAGCTTTAGCATCAGTGCAGTCCCTTTGATGTTTGAAACCTGCACTTTAGCATGCTGGCGTTACGTCAGTATTCCAGTCGCCTCTGTTGTTCATTTGTGTTTGCCAAACTGCTTCGTTCTGCCCAAGTGGCAAAAAAAAAAACGTGCACTCATTAAGATCTCCTGGCGTGCTCTGCTCATAACAGGAGAACTACAGCCTTTATCGGTTAAAACATTTTGTTTGTAGCGTGATGAACTACATATTTATTAAAAATGATAGATAATTCCATACAAATATGAAATATTGATTTGATTGATCTTTGGATGTTTAATCAGAAGACTATATTTACTTGTTCAGGGACCATAAACACACTTGGTGTTAATTCAGAGTCAAGTATGTGGTTTAATATGTATTTATTTATTTTTCCCTAAACTAATGATTATTGTAATGATAGATTTTAATTACGAGGACCATAAGACATTAAAAATTCATATCTAGTATGAATCCCATCTTACGGACACTGGGTTATTTAAATCAGAAGATTGGGTCTTTTTATTACAGGGATTTAAATAAACACTTGGCATTAACTGAGAGACAAGAGAAAGAGACTTTAAAACGTTTAAGAAAATTTATTACTAAATAATTTAACAAGACTAACTCTCTAATGATGGATGATCTGTTTGAATGAAGTGTGAGGTGAAAGGTGTGCGTGAATGATGTCAAATTCACAACCCTCGCATCCGGAGAACAAAGTCTCAGTGGGAGATGATGTTTTGCTCCTAACCGATCAGAGTTTGAGACTCGTAGTCATAAACTCATGAGATGCCATTTGAGTCGCATCCACATACCCTCAGTGAGACCTCCGTACAGATCCGGATGCCAGGTCCACGACCCTCCTCTGGTACTGGAGCCGATAGGACAGCGTCGACAGTACGACAAACCAGTCCTTGGATAGTCTCCAGGTAAAAAGCGACGGGTGGTTCACAGCGTCAAAAGGAGACCCTCCTTGGGTCAGCGAGTTCAGCTTTTATTCTGAAAGAACTGTTGCTTGATTGGTAAAAACGGAATTTTCCCAGCTTGAATGGTTCGCAGCTTAAAAAGAGAAGTACAGATGGCCTGTCCTTACTTCTCCTAACATGCGGTGAACTCCAAGGGATCTTGAGAGATCTTGAATACTGAACTAAGATGGCGTTGGAACTGTTTTATTAATCTGGATGTTTTTGATTCTGGACGAATCAAAGCTGACAGATTTAATAAACACCACAGACTATGCCACGTTTCAGACTAGGAAGGTTCTGATTGGATCAGTACAGCAATGTGTCATGTGATTGTTTCCCTTACGTGTGTCTAGTGGACTAGATTAAGTCATTTACTTATTAAAAACATATTAATCATAATATTGTGATTTCACTGATCGGTCATTGTATTATTGACTAACAGTTGTTTAGATTAGCTTTATTGAAAATAGAGTTCTTTGATTTTGATAATAGAAAGGAAACTTCATCTTCTGTCTTCATCGCTGGAACGTAAACAGTTTAGAAGCGAATGCATGACCTTGAGGCTGTTTCATGCACTCTGGCGCTGTGTCAGAGGGACCTGTGGTTAGAGCATAAATAAGAGGATAAATAGCTCCTTCATCACGTTACATTATACATGACAAGATATGAATGGAATGATGAGTGGATTAGTCTAATGTGTGGAATGCTGGATTGGAAAAACCTAAGTATCTGAGAATTTGTAGTCTGGGTTGTAAAAGAATTGGGCTGTTTGTTAATTACCGATTTATTTTTAAAACCGTTCGACGGTATCTGTCGAGTCTACGCACCTTTTTGTGTGGAGATTTTCGTGCGATCCAGGGGGTCAAGAGGTCGTGCTGGTCACTGCCGGTGGAGTGGACCTCTATCAGGAACCCGTAGATTAGCTCCGATACGACCCGTCTAGTCTGATTTCTCCAAGTGGCGACAGGAAGCTGGAATGCTTGCTTGCATCCAAGTCTGTCTGTTTGGCTCTTAAAGGAGTTGTTTGTCTGATATCAGCCACAGCGTTGCAGAGAGGCTTTTGACTGGATGTCAAGAGATGGTTTCGAAATTTTCTTCCGCGATTTGGCCGGATCGGGAGTCGGCGAGGAACTGAATTAATCCGGAAGTAATTCTTGTTTTATTGAACCCATTGCTTATAAGTTTTGGCAAAACAGAATTTGACATGTTTGAGGGCTTTATCAAAACATTCCTTCAGATACACAGGTGGTTAACTCTTTGTGAATGCGAATGTTTTAAAACACTTATGTGAAGTGAATATTAACATCAAAAAGTAGGAATTTTGGGTTTTCATGAGCTGTACGCCAAAATCATCAATATTAGAAACAATAAAAGGCTTGAACTACTTCAGTTGTGTGTAACGAATCTAATCTATATGAAAGTTAATGTTTATCAGTACATTACAGACAATAATGAACTTGATCACAATATGCTAAGTTTTTGAGAAGGACCTGTACATGTGGGTGATATTGACTAAAGCACAGATTATTCAAACATTTGATTTAAACATCTTCTTTCAACACATAGGATTATTCCAACTTATGATGAATTATATGAATGGAAACCGTGTTCCCTCGCCCGGACGTGGGTCACCAGGGCCCCCTCTGGAGCCAGGCCTGGAGGTGGGGCACGTTGGCGTGCGCCTGGTGGCCGGGCTTTCACCCAAGGAGCCCGGCCGAGCACAGCCCGAAGAGGAAACGTGGGTCCCCCTTCCCATGGGCTCACCACTCGTGGGAGGGGCCAAAGGGGTCGGGTGCAGTGTGTGACGGGTGGTAGTCGAGGGCGGGGACCTTGGCGGTCTGATCCTCGGCTACAGAAGCTGGCTCTTGGCACATGGAATGTCACCTCTCTGGTGGGAAAGGAGCCTGAGTTGGTGTGTGAGGTTGAGAGATTCTGACTAGATATAGTCGGACTCACCTCAACGCGTGGCTCTGGCTCTGGAACCAGTTTCCTTGAGAGGGGCTGGACTTTCTATCACTCTGGATTTTCTCCCACTGAGAGGCGCAGAGGTGGGCATACTAGTTGCCCTCCATCTTGGTGCCTGTACGTTGGGGTTTACCCTGGTGAATGAGAGGGTAGCCTCCCTCCGCCTATGTGTGGGGGGACGGGTTCTGACTGTGGTCTGCGCTTCTGCACCAAACTACAGTTCAGACTACCCACCCTTTTGGAGACCTTGGAGGGGGTGCTGGAAAGCGCTCCTTCCGGTGACTCCCTCTTTCTGCTGGGGGACTTTAACGCTCATGTGGGCAACAACAGTGAGACCTGGAGAGGTGTGGTTGGGGGGAACGGCCCTCCTGATCTGAGTTTGAGTGTTTTGTTATTGGACTTCTGTGCCAGTCATGGATTGTCCATGAACACCATGTTCAGACATAAAGGTGTCCATATGTGCTCTTGGCTCCAGGTACCTTAGGCCGCAGCTCGATGATCGACTTTGTCGTTGTCTCATCTGACCTGCGGCCGCATGTCTTGGACACTCGGGTGAAGAGAGGGGTGGAGCTGTCAACTGACCACCACCTGATGGTGAGTTGGCTCAGATGGTGGGGGAGGATGCCGGTAAGCCTAGGCAGACCCAAACGTATTGCGAGGGTCTGCTGGGAACGTCTGGCAGAGTCTCCTGTCAGGAGCTTCAATCCCCACCTCCAACAGAACTTCCAAAATGTTCCGGGGGAGGCGGGGGACATTGAGTCTGAATGGACCCTGTTCCGTGCCTCCATTGTTGAGGCGACAGACCGGAGCTGTGGTCGCAGGATCGTCTGTGCCTGTCTTGGTGGCAACCCCCAAACCCACTGGTGGACACCGGCGGTTAGGATGCTGTCAAGCTGAAGAAAGAATCCTATCAGGTCTTTTTGACCTGTAGGACTCTAGAGAAAGCTGACGGGTACCGGCAGTCCAAGCGGAACGCGACTTGGGTGGTCGCCAAGGCAAAAACCCGGACACGGGAGGAATTCGGTAAGACCATGGAGCAAGACTTCCGTACGGCTTCGAGGAGATTCTGGTCCACCATCCAGTGCCTCAGGGGGGGAAAGCAGTGCGCTACCAACACTATCTATAGTGGGGAGGGTGTGCTGCTGACCTCTGCTCAGGACGTTGTGGATCGGTGAGCAGAATACTTCGAAGACCGCCTCAATCCCACCGACACATCTTCCAGTGAGGAAGCAGAGTCTTGAGAGGCCAACCCAAAGTCCTCAGACTCTGGTGCTGAGGTCACTGAGGTGGTTAAAAAGCTCCTCTGTGGCAAGGCTCCAGGGGTGGATGAGATCCGCCCGGAGTTCCTTAAGGCTCTGGATGTTGTGGGGCTGTGTTGGCTGACGCGGCTCTGCAATATTGCGTGGACATCGGGGGCAGTCCCACTGGACTGGCAGACCGGGGTGGTGGGCCCCTTATTTAAAAAGGGGGACCGCAGGGTGTGTTCCATCTACAGGGGGATCACACTCCTGAGCCTTCCTGGTAAGGTCTGTTCAGGAGTTTTGGAGAGGAGGGTCCGTCGGATTTTTGAACCTCAGATTCAGGAGGAGCAATGTGGTCTTCATCCTGGCCGTGGAACACTGGACCAGCTCTGTACCCTTAGGGGGATCCTGGAGGGTGCGTGGGTATTTGCCCGACCAGTCTACATGTGTTTTGTGGATTTGGAGAAGGCGTTTGACCGCGTCCCTCGGGGGGCCCTGTGGATCAGGTCTCTGCTTTTTGCAGATGATGTGGTCCTGTTGGCTTCATCAGAACATGATCTTCAGCTTTCGCTGGAGCGGTTCGCAGCCGAGTGTGAAGCAGCTGGGATGAGAATCAGCTCCTCTAAATCTGAGACCATGGTCTTGATTCGGAAAAGGGTAGAATGCCTTCTCCGGGTCAGGGATGAGGTCCTGCCCCAAGTGGAGGAGTTTAAGTATCTCGGGGTCTTGTTCACGAGTGAGGGAAAACTGGAGCGTGAGATCGGTAGACGGATTGGTGCTGCATCTGCAGTGATGCGGGCGTTGTACCGGTCTGTCATGGTGAAGAGAGAGCTGAGTCAGAAGGCGAAGCTCTCGATTTACCGGTCGATCTACGCTCCTACCCTCACCTATGGTCATGAGCTTTGGGTAGTGACCGAAAGAACGAGATCGCGGACACAAGTGGCCGAAATGAGTTTTCTCCGAAGATTGGCTGGGCTCCCCCTTAGGGTGAGAAGCTGGGTCATTCGGGAGGGGCTCGGAGTAGACCCGCTGCTCCTCCACATCGAGAGGAGCCAGTTGAGGTGGCTCGGGCATCTGGTCAGGATGCCTCCTGGACACCTCCCTGGTGAGGTTTTCCGGGCACGTCCAACCGGGAGGAGACCTAAAGGTAGACCCAGGACACGCTGGAGGGACTATGTCTCTCACCTGGCCAGGGAACGCCTTGGGATTCCCCCGGAGGAGCTGGTCCAAGTGGCTGGGGAGAGGGAAGTCTGGGACTCTCGCCTTAGGCTACTGCCCCCGCGACCCGACTCCGGATAAGCGGATGAAAATGGATGGATGGATGGATGGATGGATGAGTTGTAAGGTCATGGAGGAGCTTCGAGGAGTTTTCCTCAGTGAATATGCAGGAGTCTGCATGAGGCTTTGAGTGAGAATGTTTTGGTTTCTTGTAGCATGAACTGGGGCAGAGTCTTGTTTTGGGTTTGGGGCCAAACAGATGTTCTTGTGTCTGCAAATGAGGTTACTTAATTTGAGGGCAAAAATTTGACTACTTGGTACATTACATGTTTATGCAAATCATCACTTAATACTTGAATAGCCAATTCAATTGTAAAAGTTTTGTGCACCATCCTTACTTGTTAATCAGCTCTGAACTCATCAGTTTGTTTTTAATATTTCTGGGGAGAAGAAACATAAACTTAAGTGTGATTTTAAGATGGCAGCTTTTTTACAAAATTGGACCAAAATCATTAAAATTATTTGTGGGGACATGTTCCCGTTTAAAACGACACACGTGATCAACTCAAGTATTTGTGCCAAATTCATGCAACGATGTAGCCCGACTCTTTATTCTACTCAAGAACAAGAGATTAAATGACTACGAGAGAAATCTACACAAACAAGCCACAAAGATTGAGTAATGTTTAATTGTAAGTTCGGTGTTAAATCAGTAACTCAAATGATTTCAGAGCTAATGCAGTGATGATAAAGACGTGTGTTTGGGAGGGGCGATGGGATTTACTGCAAGAGCTTTAGAGAATGTGGTGTGACCAAATATGGCTAATTGGGTGCGTTTCTGTATGAAAAGGACCGATTGGGCATGAGCCCCTGGGTATGCACACAAGGGGTTTTTTCAACCGTCTGTTGCGGAGGGACGTGTGTACAACTGACCACTGCGTGTTTAATAAATCCGGGTGTAATCCGTTCGTACAGACACGCTACATTTCATTTGTAGGGTGGAATAAAGGATGTTTTAGTTTTAAAGGTCTCTGAGCTAGATCTGCACCAGCGAAGTGGAAGCAGAACTCACCATTTCTGTATTCGTTTAATTTTTCCTGTGTATTCAGTCGCAGTCGGCGCCAGCTGGGGACCAATAAGGAGTGTCAGTTTGGGTTGTCTGCAGAGACAGGGGAGGAGCCAAGTGGTCTGGAGGCAGCCATCGCTTACTACCAGCTGGATGACACCAATGATGCAGTTTTCACCCCGCTGACGGTCAGATAAGTCTTCCTTGTATTGAATCAGGTCGCAACTAAAGTTCTCAAAGACTCTATTCAGTTTCAGCTGTACAACCACTCGATGCAGCTGCTCGTCAGTAAATGCTTGGGTGTGCTGGCCCCAGCGGCTCTCTGGAGCACTGCCCTAAGTGTTGATTTGTCATCTCTGCAGAGTTCAGCTGTGGCTCCTCCTGCCACCATTGGAGCTCCACCCACTTCTGCCTCCTACAGAGTTCAAAGGGCTCCAGGGCCCCTCCCTTCTATGCCTCCACCTGGTACCAGCCCCATCTGCTCTTCTGAGGAAGACCAGGAAGACACAAGTACTGTGGAAGACCAGGGTGAGTCACTTCCTGCTGAACTTTCAAAGTAAATCTCATGGGTAGAGCAGTAATGTGTTATGTGATCCTGTTCATCAGCCGAGTACACAGAGGATTACATGTACAGCAGTCAAGGTGAGTAATGGAGGAGTGATGTCTCTATCCTCAAAATTTTGTGAACTGGAAGTGATGTCATCCTAAACACTTTCAGATCAAAGTTTCCAGCCCTCAGGTGTCTATGCTTCTGCTGAGCCCCCCTCCACTCAGGTAATTCCCTACCTTACTTGTGGCTCCGCCTCTTTCGTGACATCGCTTATTGAACATACAGGCTGTAAAGTGGCCTGGAGGCATGGCTCCTCCTCCTTCACTATTGTCCACATCACAGCACAGTCCACCTGTCCTGCTCCATTCTACACCCACTAACAAACCTCCTCATGGAGCAGAAGCTCGTTGTTTACCTGGAGACAGATGTCCAACTTTTCTGGTCAAGTGATGGAGGTGTGGACAGGACCCGTTTGGACTCGGTGTCTCAGAGTTCCTGAGACCTCAGCCGAACAATCTGCTGTGGTTCCTCCATCTCAGCCTAGCTCCTCTCAGCCAGTTTCTAGACCCCCCCCCCCCCCACACACACACACACACACACACACACTCCTGCACATTAAACACTAGGTGGCGACATCTCCTTTTCTTGAAAGAACAAACTTCAAAGCAGCGTTAGTCTGAGTTATTAGAACATGTGAGCCAGATGTGACGGTCTCTGATGTTACACAGAACATGTGACTATCAGCGTCATTAAGCTGTGATGGTGTTTTTTTGTGAAAGGACGAGCAGGAAAGGGACACAGCTGACTCTCCGAACAGACCGCAGTTGAGCTACAGCTACACGCAGCAGGTAAACGCACCTGGACACACCTGCACAGGGCCACACCCCCTGCTTCATCAGGAAGTGACACAGTAAACACCACCATCTGACCCCAGAAGCTGTGAAGTGTTGGCTTGGACAGGGATAATCAGCTGATGGTAGATCAGGAGAGTCCAGGTCCAGCTGGCGGACTGCAGGATTCTGGTCCAGGGGCGTAGAAGACAGAGTTTGGAGTAGCTTCATCTCTGAGGTGTGTTGTTTCAGGTTGTGAAGCCACTACCTGTCATCTGCTCTTCACCATCCTCCTCCTCCTCCTCGCCTTCCTCTCCATCATCTCGAGTACCTGCAGCACCTCACCTGCCGTCAGCTGCACACCTGCAGACACGCTCAGGTAAGTGGGTGACCAGCAGACAGGTGAACTGCACTGTCAAGATCTGACTCATTTTTTCTGCGCTCAGTTGCCATGATGATCCCAGCTGCTGCTCCCTGGTTGCCGAATGAGGTGGGTGAGCCATTCTGTGCTGTGGTGGCTTCGCCCCCTTACTCCTATGACCCAAACGGCAGTGATTTACCCAGAGGTGAGAGGTCACGGTGTTTATTTGTCTTGAGGTTAAATGACAAATGGTCTCTGGCGTACTAGTGTGTGTGTGCGTGTGTGTGCGTGTGTGTGTGTTTGCAGACTGCAGGGTCGTCCAGTATTACTTCAACCTTGGCGTCCAGGTGGGACTTGCCGTGTTAAATTCTCCATTCTGTTGCTGGTGGTGAGACCGGTGTCTGACCTCTGATCTGTTCATCTTCAGTGGTATCATCAGAACTGCTGGCAGCAGCAGGCGTACCCCCCTTCCTCACCTGACCCTGCATACCCCTATCAGCACTACCCCTCCTACTTGAGCCAGGAGCCCCCGCTCCACGGTGAGACCCAGATTTTTTTTGTATAGTTGGACTTTATTGAGGGGCCAGAACTTTTCACACCCCGCCCCTCCATCTGCCCATAGCTGGACCGCCATTCCCTGAGCCAGGCCGAGGTACTCACCAGTCCCCCTCCTACCCAGAATCCTCCAGGACAGCAGATGGACAGGTGGAAGGACACAGCGGTGGTAAGTATTATTGATTGATGATGGTGTTGTATTTGATCAGCACCACATGGCTTGGTTCCAAAGAGTTCCCACTAGTCTCAGACACCAGGTCGCTGCCCTTTAGTCTAGAACCCATTTAGATGTAGATCCGAGCGGACCAAGCCAAACATGCAACATCAGAGACCGACACTGGTGGCTGCTGACTACTGGATCAATGGAAGTAGTCACTGGTTGGCTAGGGGGCAGAACCTTCTGGACCGAACTGTGTTTCTGCCCCATAGCCAACCAGTGACTTTACCTCTATTCATCATAATTATGTCTTTATGGTTGAGTTACAAAACATTTAACCCCCCTCAGGTGTCATGACGGTAAACTCGACCCATTAAACCTAAACTGGTTTAAAACCAGGCTGTAAACATGTCTATTTCTGCTGTGAAGTTCAGACTTTGTTAAAAAGGAATTACTTCTTCACAACTGTGGAGATTAAACTGTTTGCTAGCTACACTGCGTGTTCGTGTTGACGGTCCCGGGGAAGAGGGATCCGGATTTGAGACGACCTGGATGATCCTGTCCAGCTGTCTGCAGTAGCTTAGCTCAGTTAGGCCGTGTTGAAGGGCAGAAGCAGCTCTCCTGATGCGTGAAGCCAAAAAACGCTTTATGGGGTTTTTCATGAGAAAAGTCACAATATAACCGGTCAAAAGCTCCAGAAAGTGGATTTAGGATGATTTAGGACCTTTAAACTGAGATGAAGCTGTTTTCTCTTCCCACTCAGGACCCACCCCATCAGTGGAAGGACCTTCCTCCTCAATTAGCCCTGCTCTTCCTGGCTCCGCCCCCTCCACATTGCTCTATCCAGATCAGACTTCTATCCCCCCTCCCACTCTGCTGCACCTGCCATATGAAGCATCACCTGCAGCTTCTTACGTTTCCACAGCTCCTCCCCCCCTTCCACACCATGCCCACATCCCGCATCACTCCTCTTACCACCCCTGCCTTCCTCCATCCTCCCACTGGGGGACTGTATCAGCATCAGGACACGCCCCGCGGGTCTACTGCCCCTCCCCTAATCCTGGCCATGTGGTTGGTTACATCACTACCCCTCCTCACCACACAACCACACACTACATCCCCCCCGCCATGTAAAGGCTGCGCGTTAGCTCATGGCTAATTGCACCATTTGATTTCATTTAGCAATGCTAGCTTTTCTACCGATCACTTCATGTTCCTGTGACGTTTCTGAAGAGCAAAAAATTGTTAAAACAGAAACGTGTTTCTAAGCTAACATGTTAGCTGTTGGCACGTGTTAGCCTACGTTTTGTTTATAGCAACCTGTGATTTTCTGTTTAAGACAGTTGAAAGGTTCGTTTCCGGTTGAACATTTTAGTTGAAAGAATTTAGGCTGAGTTCAAACCAGCCAATCGGTGTGGAGGGTGGGGCCACATGCTGGGCAGGGCCATACGCTGGGCGGGGCCAGTCCCTTAGTGCTGATAAGGGACCTCTTTGTGTTCAGGTTCATGTTTTTGGTTTGAATAAAGTTCATTTCGGCAGCAGATCCAGGTTCTATTTTCTCTGGTTTCCATCGGATTCTGGGATGGAGAACTGGTTCTAAACCAGTGTTGGTGCCAAATGTAGCATCCCCGGCTGAAAAGATGGTCTCTCAAACTGATGGTTCACAATCCTTTTATTAAATAGCCGTGCATGTGAACACACCGTAAGAGCTACAACATACAGAATAAAACGGTGCGTTACCTTTAACCCTTTTGACTTATTTATTAATCACAAATTAATTCTCTTTACCTTTCATAACAAATAACACTGAAACTTGTCAATTATTGCATATAACAGTGAAATCGTTGCATCGCTGCCTAGACATGACAAGATACGTTAGCACCCTCTAAAACTCGGCCTTTATGCTTAGCAGCGGTCAGCAGCGATACGCTCCGTATAACAACAAAGTGCAAATCTACAGGACAAACCTTGTTCCCTCATCAACCAGGTGCTAAGAAACTGCTTTCAACTCAGTATTGCACCTTAATAGCCGTTCTTTTTCCCATTCTCGTCCATTAACCACAGAGCACACCTCTTTTTTTTATTTTTATCATCATTAAATGCTTATTACAATTTCTCGTGAGACAACAACACATAATGGAAACATGCAAGGCATCCTTTAGCCTGGCAAGCCAGACTAAATAAATGTATTATTTAGTCTGGCCACGCTCCATTGACGGCTCTCGGTTGTGGGGCGGGTTCTACCGTTGTCTTTCAAATGATCTCCGCATTCCACTGGACAATGAATGTGACATACTCTTGTTTCACTCTGTTGCATCATCCCACCCACCAGGCATATAGAGGGCCCTGATTGGCCCACAAAGCGGATAAAGCTCTGTGATTTGTTCACAAAGCAGATAGAGCACTGTGATTGGCCCACCATTATGGACCAATCACAGCTCTTTATGTGTTTGAAACCCCTCTAGAGAGCTGTGATTGGCTAGCCAGAGTCCTGGTAGGAGCTGCGGAGGTTCCAATGGAGCATGCCTAGACCAAACTTTGCAAAGCAAGAATTTGGTCTAGTTCACTAGGCTAGGCATCCTTAATAACAATAAAAGAAAAACAAATAAACTTAGATAAGAGGCACTTATATCACAAAGTAAAAACAGTGTTACAAGATGAAACACTTTTCTGCAGCATGACAAATGGCTTTTGCAGTTGCATTTGAATTTTTTATACGAGTCAAAGTGGATAAGAACATATGGAATTCATTTGTGAAACAGTTCATGTTTGGCAGTTTTCCATTTGCTTTTGTGGATGTGGTATTTACCCATAATAATAATAATAATGTTAATTAACGATGAATTATTCCCATTTAATTTAGAATTGTAAATAAGAATATCTTCATTTGTAAAACGATCAAGTTCTCTTATTTTATTTCTTAAGCACCACCTTCTCTGTGCATTAGATCTCGCGCTTCGGCTAAATAGTTTACGCCACTTGCTTTACGGCACCTTGTCGCTCTGTGACTTTCAAAGTAAGAGCATCCGCTCTAACAATATAACAGTCGCTCATAACTTTACGAACTACTTTACAGAATATTAATGTGGTCATTTACACCAAACAACTAAAGATGATCAAACCAGTTTGGACCAGATTCAGGTTACCTGAGCTTTTGCTAAGAGATAAATATTCTGCTGTTCTGATTGGTTCCCTTTTAGAACCACTGGGCTTCAGAAGTTGTTCTAAACATCATTTGGGTTATGTGTTCTGTTGGGGTCTCTGAGGAAGATGCTGGAACTGGTGGGCTGAGTCTCAGTCTGGAGGAGGGTTGTTGGTTCAACTCCCAACTAATGTTCTCCTTGTGCATGTGTTGGTGTCCTACAGCAGATCTACTTCTATAGATCTAAACGTAGACCCGTTCAAAACGGACGGAACTCCTGGTGTTGGAAACGCATCAGGCGAGGCTGATTTGGTTCTTCCTTCACCTCTAGATCTAGAACTGTGTAACTTCAGCAGTAAACTCACGCGTTAGTGATGCAGCTTCATGCTAACGGTGTTCATTTACACAGAACGAACAAACGAGCCAAGAATCATTCAACGTTTTACCATCATCTGTGTGTCCTTGTAAACACTTCAGAAATAAACATTTAAATATGACAACTTTTATTATTTTAGCCAAACTATATAAAAATCTGGCAAAAGCTAACATACAGTAGCATTTTAGCAAAAGCGAGGTGTATCAGTTCCTCCATAGAAACAATAGTTGGGACTCAAGTCTTATTTAAAAGTGGACGTAGAGCCAGGTTGGACCCCTCATCCCTAGCCTTGGTTTTAAATTTAATTTCTACATCAGACTGCAGGATGGCACTCTTAGGGTAACAATGGCAGTCTAAACTAACATTGCATTGAAACTATATATAAAATTGTACACATGAAAGCATACCTGTTGTTGTGAGACTACCTGGCTTCTCTTCTCTGGAGGTTTGCACATCCACAAAATGAAATAAACACAAATAGGTGGAGTAGTTTCCAGGTTAGGGTTCGCTTTTTCAGCCACATTCCTCTGGGTTCCTTATCTCTCAGGAGGTGGTGAAAGCTGCGCCGACGGCCACACTCTTACTCCATATAAACATATTTAATTATCTCTGGTTGACTGGACCACTGCGAACAGCGCGACCTTTTCCCGAGCCATGCAAGTACATTGTTTGGGGGTAAATAGTAAACTGGCAACAAACTTCACCATGTAAACCAAGAGGTATGCGGTAGTTCCAGTATGTCACCGGATGTTGAATACATCATTGTTTATCTGTTTTAAAAAATCATGAAAAATAAGGTGGATATGAAGACTAAAACATTGAGTTTGTCATTCAAGGAGTACCTGATGATCCTCAGACTCCAAGACCATCAGAAGCATCTGAAACGCCTCATTTACTCTTGAGTATGTAAAGGATTCACCTCGCTGAACCATGTCTCACTTCCTGTATGGCTCATGTGATTTTACTAAATTAAAATCTGCATGGGGTGTATGGAAATATGAACTCCATCAAGAGGCTTTCTGGAGCTCCAGATCTGTGGTGTCAGCACAGCTAGTGTGAATGTTCTGAATGGAATCTGGACCGCATCCGTTGAACTCGTGTAAATGAGGTGTAAAAGCTACACACTCCTCACAACCAGAACAGAACCAGAATCTAGTATTCTGCTGCAAAAAGAATCAGAACTTACAGACCGATTCACTGTCCAGAGTCCAGCTCAGATTAGTCTAGAGGTTCTGGTTCTACATGAGTTCATCTGATCAAGAGCTTAGTAGGTTTACAGCATCTGTTACCATGGAGATGTTGACCTCAGCATCCTGTCTTGTGGTAAAAACTCAGCTGGAATCTCTACAGTCCAAAGATCACGACCTCCCCGAGTCCTCAGAGGCTGTGTTAGCCAGCGTGGATTGGTCAGATGAGTCAAGTGTTTGTCCTGTAGACCAATCAGAAGGGCTGCCTGCTCTAGTCTATGCAACTCCTCCCCTTGCAGAGAAGCTGTGCAAAGCCAGGTCTCACCTACATCCACCAGTCCTAAAAGAGAGAGGTGCGTTCAAGAGCAGTCTCTGAATTCAACCTTTAAAGCCACTGGTTTTGTATCTCACCTGCCACCACACCTCGTCCAAACCGTTCTCCAGAGTCCTGCAATGCCTGGATCTGAGTACTGCTCATCCCTAGTGGACCACTCAGCACCGACTTCCAGTCCTCCCCCTCCCAGTCCTGCCAGGCGATGTGGATGGCCAGAGTTTGGTTCTGTAAGGGGGTCAGCAGGGGTCTCCACCGACTCTCCAACGTCTTCACCCCATTCAGAACCAGACCGGCGTACGGCTGCCGGAAGGAAAGACACCACAGCTGCAGGGACATGTCTGCAGAAGGGTTACTCCTGGTTTTTGATCTAAAACATAATTTTTGAGAGTAAGTCGAAGCTAGTCTCAGGTCCAGGAAAGTGGACCTGTTTAGACCTGGACTAGATGATCTACACTAGTGGACTTAGTGTGTGTGTGTGTGGGGGGGGGGGGGGGGGGGGAGCAGCATTGTAGGTGATAGTTTTTAAAGCCTTTTTATTTAGTGATCCACTCATCAATTTTAAGTGTGTGGTTGTAAAAATATTTAAATAAGGTTTTTGGTTATTTGCATTTGTGGAGCTAGTTTAGAATAATTAACAAATTAATAATTACGTATGCAGCGCAGATGAAAAACACTAAATACATTTTCCCACGTTATAGCTAAGTCATTGAGCTGTCCAATAAATCTAAAGTCATTCCGATAAGTAGCCTGAGAACGGATCCAAAGATGTGCTGATCAGACACACAAAAACGGTTCAACGTCTCTCTTGATCTTTATTATTTAACGATTCGCTTCTTTGATCTTATTTGATACAAAATACTTGCTAGGACAAACATTCAGACTTAACTTGTGTTAGAGCTCCTCCTTTACTCTCCTTCACACAACGAAGTTGATAAAAGTCTTAAAACCAAAACAGAGTTAACCTTAAAACTGTCGGGCTGATCACCTGGGCTGGGTGATCCTAGCTCGTGCCCGTAACAACATGCGTTAAGCTAGCTGCGATGAATAAATGTAAATACAACAACATAAATAAACGTACCTCGTACCTAAAGACTGCTTACAACCAAGAGGGAATTAATTCACTTGCAAACTAACTCTTCAAAATGAATATAAGCAATAGCGAATGGCTTTACTGAACTTCTAACAAACCAACGGGGGAAACGGTGTGCAGCAGCGAAATACGTCCCTGTGGAATAAATATACTACAAATTAGTTCCCCTCTAATGTTAATGCAAAAATAGCAAATAATGTGTACATAAAACATTTAAACTGACATAAATGTTCCTGAGCGTCAGCCTGAGGAAGTTTGCAGCCGCAAACGAAACGTAGCGGGAAAACAGGAAAACAAAACTGCTCTGTTTTAAAAAAGAACTACAGCATGGAGTTACACAGCAAGAACACACCTAAGATGACATAAATATTGCAGCTAAAAACGGGTCCTTGTAGAGAACCGTTAATTTTGTCTTTCTGTAACTAGATGAATGCTCAATTAAACTGTACGAGTCCCGTAGGTTAAAAATTATGAGAGTTAAAAAAAAAAGCTAGCTCGGTTCTGGGCGGCCACCTGGATTCAGTTGAGGAGATGTGTGAAAGGACTGGAGGATGTTGGTGAAGATGACCTCCATCTTGGAAAACCCCTCCCACCCACTACGTCCTACTGTAGAGGCCATGGACAGCTCCCTCAGAGGCAGACTGATATCTGATGACACAGAATGCTACCGTTGGTCATTCATCTCCTCTGCAGTAAGAATGTAGAACTCCTCAGTTTAACTACTGACATTATCTTGTTACACAATAACATCAATGCAACGTTCAGTATGTGTTCAATACCTGTGCAATGCTGTCCAGATGATCTTAGTATGTCTGTGTCCCTTATGCCGCATTATTCTGGAAACCCAAGTTTCCTTTTTATTTTTTGTTTTTAGTGTTTGAAGATTACAATAATAATTCACTGCCTTATGTGTTTACCTGTTATCTGTTTTCTTTCTTTTCTGTAAGTATATATGCTGCCGTACCCACTGTGGGATTAATTATTCTATTCCATGAAGTAGATGAAATAGGCAAGTTCGAATTATGAGATAGTATATTGTTGAGGCAGCTGTTGGCTGTGATCGCAAGGTGGCCAGGGCCAGTCGTGGCAGTTACCCCCGTACCCGCTGGTGGACACCAGAGGTTAGGGGAGCTGTCAAGCTGAAGAAGGAGGCCTACAGGGCGTGGCTGGTCTGTGGGTCTCCAAAGGCAGCAGACCAATACCGGAGGGCCAAGCAGGGTGCAGCAGTGGCAGTTGCCGAGGCAAAATCTCGGGCATGGGAGGAGTTTGGCGAGACCATGGAGAAAGACTATCGATCGGCTCCCAAAAGGTTCTGGCAAACCATCCGGCGCCTCAGGAGAGGAAGGCAGCCACTTGGTCACACCACGGTTTACAGAGGGGATGGGGAGCTGTTGATGTCAACTGGGACTATAGTCGGGTGGTGGAAGGAATACTTTGAGGAGCTCCTCAATCCCGCTGACATGCATTCCAAGGACGAACCAGAGCTCGGAGACCTGGGGATGAACGTCCAATCTGTGGGGCAGAAGTCGCTGAGGTAGTCAAACAACTACGCAGCGGTGGAGCCACTGGGGTGGATGAGATCTGACCTGGGTATCTCAAGGCTTTGGATGTTGTTGGCCTTTCTTGGCTGACACATCTCTGCAACATTGCGTGGTCATCGGGGGCAGTTCCTGTGGAGTGGCAGATGGGGTTGGTGGTCCAAATTTTTAAAAAGGGGGACCAGAGGGTGTGTTCCACCATAGGGGGATCACACTCCTCACCCTCCCTGGAAAGGTCTACTCCAAGGTACTCGAGAGGAGGGTCCGGTCGATAGTTGAACCTCAGATAGAGAAGGAGCAATGTGGTTTTCGTCCTGGCCGTGGAACTGTGGACCAACTCTTTACCATTGCTAGGGTGAAGGAGGGGTAATGGGAGTTTGCCCAACCAATCCACATGTGTTTTGTGGATTTGGAGAAGGCTTATGACCGTGTCCCCAGAGGCAACCTGTGGGGGACGCTCCAGGAGTATGGGGTGGATGGTCTTTTGCTAAGGGCCATTCAGTACCTGTACCAGAGGAGTATGAGTTTGATCTGCATATCCAGCAGTAAGTTGGGCCTGTTCCCAGTGTAATGTCCACAAATGGTCAGTTTTCACCTACAGATGACCTACAGGTCATCGGCCATCTACAGACCTAATTCAATCCTATGAGGTGGATTTTATATTCTAGCTGCCAACAAGCCACAAGATCGTGAACTGCTTGTTGACATCCTGGAATCGTAGCATTGACATCCTGTTCTTTCCAAGGTCCCTCACAGAGCACCCTTTTATCTAAACTCCTCGCTTCAAAGAAGGAAGATTTTTAAAATTAAATATGAACTTCTGAAATTTACAAGCTAGGTAATCATTAAATAAACATTTGTTTATTGCTACTTATAAAAATGATAAAATAATGAAATGTTTCATTAATCCGTGCTCAATGATTGTTTTAGCATGTTTACTTGACAAAGTCATAACGTTTGCACTCACAAGTACAAAGTAAGGTAAAGTTAAGTCCATGACACATAATTAACCTTTTCCCCAGATCAGAGCCTCCGGATCAAAGAAGGCGTGTGTCTCTGAGATTCTTGGTAACATCCAAACTTGCCAACCTCTGGTTGGCTACACAATCATAACATCATAACATTAAAACCAGGTCACTCTGGTGATTCTTCAGTTCTACAGAAGCTTCAGGCCGGCCACCTGAAGCAAAAACCCCTTTAACCACCAAAGCTTTTGACATGTCGTCAAAAACGTTTTTTGCACCTGCAAAGCTGATACAAGATAGTTCCTGTAGAACAAGCTGATTTGTTCAACTCAAGAGTTAATCCTGAGAAGCAAACTAGTTCCAACTGTCGTTACCTGGAGATGACTCTGGACTGACATGGTCATATTGGAAGTTAGTCTACAGATTCGGTACCGGGGTCTCCGACACCCCCCACCCCACCCCCACTCCGACATCTCGGATCCAAAAGGGTGTCTCCGCTTGGGTACGTAGAACACAGTGAGATAGCATCTGGATGTGGTTTTGATAATAATCAACCTCATAGCTTAACGCTAACCAAATTCTTTTACGTCTAGAACTCAGCTCTCCGAGGTACGGAAGTTCTGACCAACATCGCATTCACACATAGGTTCCAGACATCACCTTTAGTTCCATCCACTCACAGTAAATAATAGTTAACCAAGTGGTCAAGTTTTAATGGTTTGTAAAATAAATTCTTACTTTTATAAACCTGACTGTTTCCTGAATCAAAACAAAATGTGTGCTATCCCCCAATGAATAAAGACTCCTAGAATCTTCTGATTAAACACAATAAAGACCAGGCAGGGTGATATTCTATATTTAGATAGAGTATCACAGCTTATTGGTCATAAGTAGAGTTAATATATATACTGAGCTAACCACCAGGGCTGCCCTTTGCCGTTGGTCCTGTTCATAATGTTTATGGATAGAATTTCTAGGTGCAGCCGTGGTGTTGAGGGGATGTGGAGTTTGGTGGCAGGAGAATCGCATCTGTGCTTTATGTCAATCAATCAATCAACTTTATTTATATAGCGCTTAATCCTGCAATACACGCAACTCAAAGTGCTTAACAAATTAAAAAGGCCCCGCATTCCCTCCCATCCCCAGAATTTTAAAAACAGTCTGACAATAAAAACCCCTTCACAACACTCCTCCACCGACACACACACGCACACACACACACGCACACAAAATCAGAATCTCTTAAAAATACAGTTGGATTTGTTTTTTTCATGTTTTCTTTGTTTATTTCACCAACATTTAAATCACAGAAACACATCAAAAGCCAATCACAGACAGCAAAGGAGAGGAAGGACACGCGCCCTTTCTACGTGTTACGTCATCAGTCACAGTGAGGATGTTGGAACATTTCCAGTAATTAAATGGTAACACGATGAATTACAGAATGCATGTGCACAAAAACACAGAAGCTCATAATAGGGAAAAAAATGAGCCGGTCAGCAATCTTAACAATTGTCCTACAATCATTACCATGGCAACTACCTTCATTGGATGCTTGAACCAGCAGATATACAAGAAAATGTAAAGGGAAATAAATTAAAGCCACAAAGTCAAATTTACCAAGAAAATCTATTCACATTTATTACTTTTCACTATATTACGTCTCACTAAATAAATAATAAAATGTTTAAGCTTGAAAACAATAAAATAAATCAATGAAAACACTGAAGTGAAAATATGGATTTCCAGACAGAAGAAGGATAAAAAAATAAACAAGTAGTCTGAACACCCAGAACTTAAGTCATAAACGTGTATATGTGCATCCCCTACTGGGTGCTGGGGCATAACAGCGTTTCCGCCATATTGGGTGGGTTCCTCACTCTCCAAACCCAAATGGAGTCCACTCAGAGTGAGCAATATGCCAGCTACAACGCAGTGCACTATTGAAAAAATATCACATGGGATGAGTATTGACTTTTCTAGCCTACCTGTTGGGATTTTATATTTGTTTTGTTTAATTATATTTAAATTTTAATGAATTTGAACCTTCTTAGTGGGCTAGTGGTATGAGTGTCTGCCCTGGGACGGGGACAGGGGTTAAAATCTGGTCGGGTCAGACCAAAGACTTTAAAAATGTGACCCAATGCATCCCTGCTTGACACTCAGCTCTAAGGGGTGGGATTGGTGGGTTAAACCGCCAAATAGTTCCTGAGGACAGCCAATGCTGCAGCTCACTGCCCCCCATGGGGATGGGTCATATGCAGAGATGTAATTTCACCAGTGTGTGATGATGACTATGGGACTTTAATTATTATACCATATAATATGTCTGACTTTGTGAAATAGAATAGTAAAATGTGTTTTTTTGTTCGGTAAGCATCTTTCTCAGTAGAAATAAATGCACTGGGGGCGAATGGGGGCCCATCCAAGCTGCTACACCAGCTCCAAGAAGCACCAGTCCATGGGGTGTCTACATATGAAGTCTGTGACCTAAGCCTCCTCGGCTCCTCCCCTTCCCTTCTAGTTGGCTCAAGGGTCCCCAGAACAAAGAAGAAATGATTGTAAGAGATGAGGCTACGCTGATTTCTAAACCGCTTTGCTGCTAAATCACACACACATACTGTACTTCCATTTAAATGAAAAGTCACCATGTGCATTTCAACCGCGTTTGTCACATACTTTGAGATTGAATCAGGTGTTGCATATGTGACGTCACCGCAGAATGCCTTCTCCCCCAGCGTAGCTGCTACCAGATTTATACTTGTTTTCTCTAAGTTTAATGCTCCTTCTGTCGTCCTGGAAGGAGGATTTGAAGCTCGGTCAACTAATTTTCTCCTTTTCTCTGTGTCTGGTTGGATGGCATCAACTTGGTGAGACAAAGTTTTTGTAGTCCGATACGTTTTTTCATACAAAACCTAAAATAACTGTTGCCCTCATTTGAAGATGAGCACTTTCTTGGCATCAGTACGTGTCTTTAAAATTCAGGGACATCACATGTGAAATCCATGGCACATAACAAACGGGATTAGAAAATAGCTTTCATAGCCCAATTGACTTGCATTCCTTTTTTCTTATTTACGGGGACCCATGGCCCGGAAGTAGATGGGCGTGGCTAGGTTCCATATGAGCTGAACTGATTCACAGGTTCACTGGCTGAGTCCCTCCTACTGGTGCCCCCTATAGGCCGGAGGACTGCAGGCTCTCACCGATCCGACGGTAAAGTCCAGGCTGGAAGCCGGATCAGGATTATTTAAGACTCTTGGCATCAGGGTTGAGTGATCAGATGGAATTCTAAGAATGAGTTGCTGGATCAATTGGGTGGTCTTCCGGCTTGTTTGGTCCGCTCTGCCCTCTCAGTCAGACCAGTCCTGGTCCTCGGGGTCCGATTCTTCCTCTGATTCGCTGTACTCCACAGCAATGCGTCGAGACAGAATTGTGGCCACATCATTTCCTGTTGGCTCTCGCTTCTTGGCCTCCTCCTGCTCACGCTGCTCCTGAACTTTTCTCAGCTGAATCCCTGCAGAGACAAAAAGAACAGTGAGACCAGAGACCCACTAGCAACAGGCTCACTGGTTGGTCACACCTCCATGGCACCTGAACTCACCTCTGCGAATGGCAGCCAGCAAGTCGCTGCGAGCCTCGTTCATTGGGACGTTCAGGCCTGAAGCCTTCCTGTTGTCCATCGCTGGGGGCAGTGGAGGTGCTGCAGTGGTAGAGGGAGGGGCCTGGCCTTTGGGACAGGATGGGGAGGGGGTGTAAGTAGTGGGGAGAGGTGGGGGATGGGAGGGGCTATAAGAGCAGGAGAGGGCGTGGTCACCTACAAAGTAATGAAAAGAAACAGAATCGGTTAGTTTCTCTCCAATCTCAGCTGATGGTTTGTGTTTCACTTGTTACCTTGGTTACCAGGAGCCGCTGCAGAGTGCAAGGAGGCTGACGTGGCAGCATTGTGGGTGGTGCTAAAAGGGAATGCCGTGTGTCCTGTCGAAGGCATGAGGGGAGGAGGCGGAGGTGCTGGGGGAATCTGATGGTTGCTGTGGAGACAGGATCAGGTAATCAGGTATGTCGCTGCCACACAGACGCTGTGTGTGTGTGTGTGTGTGTGTGTGTGTGTGTGTGTGTGTGTGTGTGTGTGTGTGTGTGTGTGTGTGTGTGTGTGTGTGTGTGTGTACATACCTGAGATCCTTAGCTTCATTACTCTGAGCACCGTTCTGTTTGGCTGACCCTGTGAGTGATGGGGCTTGGGTGTACGCCTGGTTCCGACCCAGAGAGTGTTGGCGAGTTGTTGCTGTGGTCACTCCAGACGATGCCGAGGTGGGTCGAAGAGCACGGTCCAGCGACTGAGTCAGCCCACTGCTGCTAGTTTCCATGGCGACATTGTCTTTCCTGTCTTTTCCGTGAGTGGAATGAGGACTGGAGGGGTCATCTGACATTCCTGACCTGGGGTAGGATAAACCTGTGAGATCTGATCAGACTGAGGAACAGGAGATGAGTGGGTGTGGTTACCTGTCCGACGACATGGAACCATCAGAGGTGTGGTAAGGCGATGGTGTCACTCTAGCATCTGGGCGGAGCTCCTTGTCGTATGCCATCAGGTTCCACTCCTGGCGCCTGTTTCTGGCTTTTCGAATCTTCAGATGAAAAAAAGGACAAAACGAAGCGCCGTAACGTGTTCGGACACATCAATGAAATTCCATTTTACCTGAAGATGATCTCTGACCTTCGGAGCAGATATTCATCACCACTCATAAATAAATGTATCACATGCAAATTAGCACTTTTGATGTGCTAATACTAGTTTATCCGTTTAATTATAGATTCACTAGGATAAATACAATAAAGTGTATCTTTCACCAAATACAATATTTACTAAGACATCACAATATAACTATAGACACACTACTTGTGTGTGTGTGTGTGTGTGTGTGTGTGTGTGTGTGTGTGTGTGTGGGGGGGGGGGGGGGGGGGTGTGCGTGTGTGCGTGTGCGTGTGTGTGCGTGCATGTGTGTGTGTGTGTGTGTGTGTGTGTGCGCTCTGTCTTCTCCATCCCCAGTGAGTCGTGGAGGATGGCTGCTTATACTGAGCCAGGATTCTCTGGAGGTTTCTTCCTGTTAAAAGGGAGTTTTCCTCTCCACTGTCGCTGCATGCTTGTTTAGTATGAGGATTGCTGTATAGTCACTGACACTAGTCAGTGGCTCGATGCAATTTGCTGGGTTCCTTATATAGAAAACATTATTTCTGATTGGCTTAAAGAACTGACCTGAATTGGAATGTTTATTATGTGAAGTGCCTTGAGACGACTCTTGTCGTGATTTGGCGCTTTATAAATAAACTTGAATTGAATTGAATTGAATTGAATCAACCTGCATCAGTCAAGACACACAAAGATGTCATTGTGCACTCCAGTGTGGCTGCTAAACCAGTAATGGTTTCCATGTAGAAACTTTCACTTTCAAATCCATCCCACCCACACGATTAGGGGTGTGGCCTGGATTGATAGCTGTGGTCCTAAAGCTACACTGATGGTTCTCTCGCTCTAAAATCAGGGGTGTCAAACTCAAACTCACAAGGGGCCGAATTGAGACTCTGGGACGGAGTCGAGGGCCGAACTTAATATTTTTTGAAAAAGTGGCAGCAAATTTGCACATTTTCTTTATCAACATAAATGCAATTTAGAATTCAGGATTTATGTTTTCTTGTTGTTTATTCTTTTGTTCTCCTGTAATACGTGTCATCGCTGCTGTGACGTCTAGCTTTCCCCACTGAGGAACAATAAAGGGATTTTCTATTCTATTCATCTATCTGCAGCCTTTCCACTTCCTGTTTACTGTAGGCTAAATCTTTTCTCATGGGCCAACAACAAAATAAAAATGTAATTTTATCTTAAATGAAAATGCAACATCTCACCTGTTAACTTTCATGTTTTGGAGCAGAAAAAGAGCATAAAACCAACATATTTAAAGCTCAGTTTGCTCCACTGGTTTACTGCGATGCTCACCTGTTCCAGTCAGATACCTGCATCATGGGGTTGATCTGAGCTGAGGAGGAGACTCCTGTTGTTTTGTTCATCTTCATCATAATAATGACAACATTAGATGACAACAGGTGCTCACATAGGTTTGTGCTGATGAACATGTCTGAGCAGCTTGACCACGTTGTTGTGTGTCGGGGAGGAAACACGACAGCAGCCAGCTGGTTTGAGCGTGTCGCTGCTCGCTGGAGTTATATCAGCTCTGTCTGGACGTTAGTTGGAAAACTTTCTCTTTCACTCGTGAACACATTACTGAGCGGTTAAAATCTCCGTTTTTGGGCTTCAACGTCGGCAAATAGCCGAGTAAACTCGGCGCTGAGAGAGAGGAGTGTTTAGTTTGTCCAAGACAGCAGACGCTGGAAAAAACACAAAGGAGGGGGTGTTTCGGCTCCGCGCTAACGCCGCAAAGCATCATGGGAGTTGTAGTCTTTGCTGTAAAATCGGCCAGCGGGTCACTTTAATATATTTGTGATATTTATCTCGCGGGCCACATAAAAATGCTCCGCGGGCCTTGTGTCTGACACGTGTGGTCAAAATTCTCTTCCAATAACGCGGCTCATTCAAAACCCAACGATTTTATCATCCGGTTTTCTGTTTCGCTGAACCACCGCACTCCCGCACTTACCTGGGTCCTTCACTCATTATGCACTTGTGTATTTAGCAATAGCACACCACTGATGTGAGAGGTTCTCAATAATATCAGGGACGGAGAAACAGCCGGCTGCTACCACTTCAGCTTTAGGACAAACTACCAGAGTCCCAAAAAGAAAACCACCATTTGAAGTCACGGAAAACGAAAGATGTATAAACGTAGAAAACAGCGACTGGTGTTTAGAGCTCTCTCATTTACTGTGGCAATGTTTATTCTCATATCAGGGGGGCGTGGCCTAGGGATGATAGCCAATGGGAGGGGTGAGAGTTCCTTAACTGTGTTTGTGTTTAAAAGGTAGCTTGTTTTACAGATTTGCATTTGCAGATTTAACTGTCAGCATTTGGTTAAAGGGCGATAACCCCAAATTATCACAATGTGGACCAAGCTTGATCAACTTTAGTGTAAAAGCTCAGAATCTATTGAGACCTGGTCTAGATCAGCATCAGCATCAGGGACAGGATCAGAGATAAGGACTGACATGGTTTTTAGGAAGGGGATCCAGAAAAACTTCACATCCTGGACCATAAGAATCTCCCAGGAAGACTCACCTTCTTCACCTCCCGGCCCGACGAGTCCTCCGCATGCTTCTGCTCCTGGTAACCAAGAATCAGCATTTAGAGGGACAGGGGTGGACAGATGGACAAACAGATGAACGGATGAACCTTGTGTCTTCGCTTCTCCTTGCGTTTGTTCTCCGTGGCTTGTAGCATCTTTTCCTTCCACAGGATGAAGAAGTATGACGGGTCGGTGTAGAACTTCAGACCGTCCTTCTTGTCGTCTCTGCACACAAACACACCTCTACCTCAGACCCCCTCCAGCTGGAACCATAGACCCTGTTTGAAATCTGACTTTTTGGAACTGGGTTTTGTTCTTAATCTGTTTTGTATAAACTGGATTTGGACCTGCTTTTAAGGCCTGGAGCTTCATAAATAAACAAGATCTGAACTCCAACACGCAGGTTTTAAACAGACCTGTAGGGGGTCAGGATGTTAAGGGGGGGTGGCTTGTCGCAGCCCTGGTATGTCATCAGAACGGGGTTGAGGATGGAGCTTCGTGACACCACCTGCTGATCCTGGATCGTGCTGCTCCTGAAGGCCTTCCGCATGTTGATGTCCTGCAGAGACACTACACAACAACAGGATCTGTGGGTCCACATGTAGGTCTTTAAATATGCTGATGAGTTTTATCGACAAAAAAAACAAAAACGTTTCGATGATTGTTGGTTACTAGAATTTGTAAAGCTTTCCCCTCTTCTGTGGAACCAGGACCGTAGGCTTTCCTGACCATTTATTTTCTTTTAACACAACTAGAGCTTCAGTTCTCAGACCAGGTCAGACCTCCATCAGGAATATTTCCTTTAGTTGTGGTCTTGGGTAAACGTTTGTAACCTAAAACTGCTGGCTCAGTTGTCTTCTACAAAAAGGTTGAGGTGAAGCTGAACAGCAGGTCTCCACCAACGCTGGAGACTGAATCAGTTGGACTGTACCCTGCGCCTGGCTCTCAGACGGGATGTTGTTAACCTGGTTGGTTGGGCCACTATCATTGCCAGTGTCCATTAATGGAGGACCTCGAGGGAAGGTTGTAGTGTACTATCTACCAGGTGGATTCCGGTTGTACCCAGACTCTGATCCACCAGCGACTAGTTCGGCTCGAGACAGTGATTAAAGCATCAGGGGTGGTGATGGTGATGTTCACATATAATACATCAAACGTATATAGCGCTTGTTTAGGACACTTAAAGACGCTTGCATGCACTCTCACATTCACACGCTGCCAGTGATGTTAAGCTACTTTGTAGCCACAGCCGCCCTGGGGCGGTCTGACAGAGGCGAGGCTGCCATTTGGCGCCGTCGGCGCTTCTGACCACCACCAACACAGGCAAGTTGGGTGAAGTGTCTTGCCCAAGGACACAACAGCAGAAGACCCCTGGCAGGAGGTGGAATCGAACCCATGACCTGATCCTGGACCCAGGACATGATCATGGGGCAACCCGCTCTACCACCTGAGCTACTGCTGCCCCATATTACCCCTTGAAATCACAAATAACAGTCAAAAATGTAACATACAGGCCAGTGTTAGCTCCCACCTGTTGCATCCTCTCATGACCAATTGGCTTGGGTTTACACGGTCTGTAGTTATCTGTAGGGCGGGTCCAGTGTTCACTGGTGACAAAAGGTCACTCGATGCTGCTCAGAATGAGGAACGTGTGTGATGGAAGCATGTCAGAGAAGGTTCTAACAGAGTATTTTTCATAGACCTGAATTGTTTTACAAAGCCTGCATGTCTGTGTGTGGTGTAGTTAGTTATGTCTCCAAGTAGAGGGTCATACAGAGAGTAGAGTCACACCTGCAGGACATGTTCGAATCTATTAGCATATTTAAATGAAGGCGTGTTAGGGAAAGGAGCTTGCTATTCCCTAAATTTCGTCAATCCTACCTCCATGAGGAGGAATGGATCTAGATCAGTTTGTGAGTTTCTTGTCTTTTAGAAAGAAATCTATGCAGGTCTTTGGTGATGAGGACCCGGGTGTGTTTGGTCGCCTACCTTCTTCCACGTTGGAGTCCAGCTGAGTGACCTTCACAGCCAGCAGGTCAACCCTCTCCTGCAGGTTGCTCATCTTCAGGTAGAAGCTGTTGGCCTCTATGAACAACTCTCCAAAGATATCCTCAGCATGACGACCTGCAGCAGGAACCACGAGACAGAAGCCTTTGGCATCAGTCGGATTCTGATCAGCACTTTGCCAGGTGCCTGTTGTACTGGGCTGACGTGTTGAGGCTGGAGATGTAAAAACCTGGAGCAACCAATGACTCCGCCACCTAGCCCACCTGTGACCCCTTACAATCACATCAAAGCAGGTACTAACAATGGGTGTGACCTTGTACTTATCAGTATTGGAAAAGCCTTGGAACTAAGCTGAACTGGGCTGAATGGCGCTCAGGAAGTACTGATGGAAAAGAGTCCTTAGAGCCAGTGTCTCTAGATCAAGTGTAAACAGGAAGTTTGGAAGACAGACTTAAGTTGAATCAACGAGACGGTAGCGATCCAACAGGAAGGAGAAATCGTCTCTTTACTTCTATAGGCAAGAAAAACTGAACCTGAGAAACCTGTTCTGATTGGACTCCTCCAGAACTTCTAGCATTGGGAACATTCATTTCTGAATCTATGGATCTGAACCTTTATGTACTGAGTTTCCAGAACCAGAACTCACTGAGTCCTCCCAGCTGTTTGATGACTGCAGCCAGTGTACTGTTGGTGACACACTCCAGCTCACTAGCAACCCCATCAGGCAGGGAGCCTCTGCACAGAAATCGAGGCTCGATGATTCGCTTCACCAGCGGCATGTTGGACCTGCACACAGACGCAAAAATCAACTGAAACCTTCCTCACAACCTCAGAACCATTAGAGTATCAGAACATCCGTTCCTCAGAATTTCAGATTAATGGGACCAGAACCAAATACCTTCAAGACATTAGAACCATGAGCCCAGAACCTTGAAACCACATGCTGCTGGACTTTTGAACACCAGGTAACTTTGCAGCTCAGCAATAGTTACTGTAAATCCTCTAATATTAGCCTGTATTTAATTAACTGCCGGGTATCATATTTTGGCCGGTGTCGGAGTCGGCGGAGGTGAATAATGGCCGGTGTTTTTATTGTGGCCGGGTGGAATAATAATAATAATAATAATAATAATAATAATAATAATAGCCTTTATTTTCATTGTACAGGATACAACGAAATTGGAGAATGTGGTAACAAGCAAGTATGCGAGGGTAACTTTAACCGTGCGGAGACGTCACCTTATCGTGGTGGAGGAATTTGAGTGCCCTAATGATCCTAGGAGCCATGTTGTCTGGGGCACTTTGTGCCCCTGGTAGGCTCTCCCATGACAAATTGGTCTTAGGTGAAGGGTGAGACAAAGAACGGTTCACAGGATCTTTCATGGAGGTACAGTCAAAGAGTCGGAGTACCCGGCCCGGAGGGTTACCAGGGTCCCACCCTGGAGCCAGGCCTGGGGTTGGGGCCCGCGAGCGAGCGCCTGGTGGCCGGGCTTTTGCCCATGGGGCCCGGCCGGACCCAGCCCGAACCGGATACATGGGCTCATCCAACTGTGGACCCACCACCCGCAGGAGGAACATGAAGGGTCTGGTGCAATGTGGATCAGGTGGCAGACCAAGGCGGGAGCCTTGGCGGTCCGATCCCCGGACAAGAAAACTAGTTTTTGGGACATGGAACATCACCTCGCTGGCGGGGAAGGAGCAGGAGCTTGTGGCAGAGGTTGAGCGGTACCGGCTAGATATAGTTGGACTCACCTCGACACATAGCATTGGCTCTGGAACCCAAGTCCTTGAGAGGGGTTGGACACTCTCCTTTGCTGGAGTTGCTCCGGGTGAGAGGCGGAGGGCTGGGGTTGGCTTTTTGTTAGCCCCAAGACTCTCTGCCCGTGTGTTGAGGTTTAACTCGGGGGACAAGAGGGTAGCTTCCCTGCGCCTTCGGGTCGGGGAACGGGTCCTGACTGTTGTTTGTGCTTATGGGCCAAATATCAGTTGAGAGTACCCACCCTTTTTGGAGTCCCTGGGATGAGTGCTAGATAGTGCTCCATCAGGGGACTCCATTGTCCTGCTGGGGGACTTCAATGCTCCCGTGGGTAATGGCAGCATGACCTGGAGGGGTGTGATTGGGAGGAACGGCCCGCCTGATCTGAACTCGAGTGGTGTTTCGTTATTGAACTTCTGTGCAAGCCGCAGTTTGGCCATAACGAACACCATGTTCGAACATAAGGATGCCCATCAGTACACTTGGTACCAGGGCAGCCTAGGTCACAGGTCGATGATAGATTTTGTAGTCGTATCATCTGACCTGCGGCCGTATGTTTTGGACACCCGAGTGAAGAGAGGAGCGGAGCAGTCAACTGATCACCACCTGGTGGTGAGTTGAATCAGATGGCAGGGGAAGATGACGCTTAGACCTGGCAGACTCAAACGCATAGTGAGGGTCTGCTGGGAACGCCTGGCAGAAGAACCTGTTAAGACGGTCTTCAACTCCCACCTCCGGCAGAGCTTTGACCGTGTCCCGAGAGCGGTGGGGGACATTGACTCCGAGTGGGCCTTGTTCCACTCTGCGATTGTTGCTAGCTGTGGTCGCAAGGTGGCCGGTGCCAGTCATGGTGGCAACCTCTGTACCCGCTGGTGGACACCAGAGGTTCGGGGAGCCGTCAGGCTGAAGAAGGAGGCCTACAGGGCACGGCTGGTCCGTGGGTCTCCGGAGGCAGCAGACAGGTACCGGATAGCCAAGCGGGGTGCAGCAGTGGCAGTTGCCGAGGCAAAATCTCGGGCGTTGGAGGAGTTTGGTGAGGCCATGGAGAAAGACTATCGATCAGCTCCAAAGAGATTCTGGGAAACTGTCCGGCGCCTCAGGAGAGGAAGGCAGCAACTCGCTCACACTGCTTACAGTGGGGATGGGGAGCTGCGGACATCAACTGGGGCTATAGTCGGACGGTGGAAGGAATAATTTGAGGAGCTCCTCAATCCCACCTATGCGCATTCCGAGGAGGAACCAGAGCCGGGAGACCTGGGGATGGACTGTCCAATCTCGGGGGCAGAAGTTGCTGAGGTAGTCAAACAACTACACAGCGGCGGAGCCCCGGGGGCAGATGAGGTTCGTCCTGGGTATCTCAAGGCTATGGATGTTGTAGGACTGTCATGGTTGACACATCTCTGCAATATTGCGTGGTCATCGGGGGCAGTTCCTGTGGAGTGGCAGACCGGGGTGTTGGTCCCCATCTTTAAGAAGGGTGACCTGAGGGTGTGTTCCAACTATAGGGGGATCACACTCCTCAGCCTCCCTGGAAAGGTCTACTCCAAGGTACTGGAGAGGAGGGTCCGATCGATAGTTGAATCTCAGATTGAGGAGGAGCAATGTGATTTTCTTCCTGGCCGTGGAACTGTGGACCAGCTCTATACCCTTGCAAGGGTGATGGAGGGGGCATGGGAGTTTGCCCAACCAATCCAAATGTGTTTTGTAGATTTGGAGAAGGCTTATGACCGTGTCCCCAGGGGCACCCTGTGGGGGACGCTCCAGGAGTATGGGGTGGGTGGCCTTTTGTTAAGGGCCATTCAATCCCTTTACCAGAGGAGCGTGAGTTTGGTCCGCATAGCCTGTAGTAAGTCTGACCTGTTCCCGGTGAGGGTTAGACTCCGCCAGGGCTGCCCTTTGTCACTGGTTCTGTTCATCACTTTTATGGACAGAATTTCTAGGCGCAGCCGTGGTGTGGAGTGTGTCGAGTTTGGTGGCAGGAGAATCTCGTCTCTGCTTTTTGCAGATGATGTGGTCCTCCTAGCTTCATCCAGCTCTGACCTTCAGCTCTTGCTGGGTAGGTTCAGGGCCGAGTGTGAAGCGGCTGGGATGAGGATCAGCACCTCCAAATCTGAGATCATGGTTCTCGACCGGAAAAGGGTGGCTTGCCAACTCCGGGTCGGGGGAGAGGTCCTGCCTCAAGTGGAGGAGTTTAAGTATCTCGGGGTCTTGTTCACGAATGAGGGTAGGAGGGATCGGGAGATCGATAGGTGGATTGGTTTGGCATCTGCAGTGATGCGGACGCTGAGCCGATCTGTCGTGGTGAAGAGGGAGCTGAGCCAGAAAACCAGGCTCTCGATTTACCGGTCGATCTACGTCCCAATCCTCACCTATGGTCATGAGCTTTGGGTAATGACCGAAAGAATGAGATCGCGGATACAAGCGGCCGAAATGAGTTTCCTCCGTAGGGTGGCCGGGCTCAGCCTTAGAGATAGGGTGAGGAGCTCGGACATTCGGGAGGGACTCGGAGTAGTACCGCTGCTCCTCCGGATCGAAAGGAGCCAGTTGAGGTGGTTTGGGCATCTGGTCAGGATGCCTCCTTGACACCTCCTCGGGGAGGTGTTTCGAGCATGTCTTGCCGGCAGGAGGCCCCCAGGTCGACCCAGGACACGTTGGAGAGGTTACATCTCCAACCTGGTCCGGGAACGCCTTGGGGTCCTGCCGGAGGAGCTGGTGGAGAAGGCTGGGGAGAGTACGGTCTGGAGCTCCCTAGTTGGGATGCTGCCACCACGACCCAGACCCGGATAAGTGGAGGAAGACGACGACGACGAGACGAAGAGGAGGCGAAAATTTGATATCAAGTTCAAAGAGAACGTGCTGATTATGCTGCAGAACTGTGTGAACTAGTCACTAGTCGACTTCACTGCTCTATAGTGACTTTTTATGCCTGTCATCGACTAGTCTCTGTCACGTGATAATGACCGGCAAGATGCAGTCCACGGAAAAGACAGCAGCCTGCTGTCAGCAGGTGACAAGCTCCTGCGCGTCGGGAGGCGACGCGCTGTGCCAGAGCGTCCGTACTGGCGCCCGCCATAAAACGGACATTTAACCAAATTGTGACGTTTACCCTCTTGCAATTTAACATTCCCCTCACCCCCACTCTAACCTTAACCAGCTAGCGCATGTAAAGCTCTGATCGTTGACGCACTCCAGACATCTGCGTCCTGAGCACTGCCACAGTAACATTATCAAATCAGGTGTCGCCACCTCAAAAACTACTTTAACACGCGATTGCTCATGTCGGCTCATTTCCTTTTATGTTTTCTGTCTTTTATTCTTTTATTTGTGCCTGATGCTTTTCGCTGCTGCGGATCAGGGCACATCACCTGTTTTGTCCTCTGTGACGCACCTAATTGATGTGGCCGGCGAGCACTCCGCTGTTTTTGCGGTCGGTAGATATTTTAGAACTGCAGTTCAAAGGTAACTCATAAGGTGAATATATAAGAACCCAGGTAGCAGTTTCTCTTTAGGATTGAGAGAAGATGCAGGAAGATAATAAACAGGCAGGACAGAAAAATAGTCAAATAAAAACAAGTTAGTTTTTGTACCTGGTGGTTGCAACAAACAGACACCATTGAAGGTAATCAGAAGTGAGCAACAGAAAATGAAATAATTATTTTAATGTTTAGAGCAGCAGGAACTCCAAGAGGCTGCAGGCGCATCAGTGAGTTTGCGGCCGCTGCGCAGGGGGAGGGGGGAGGGGGCTGAAGCAGGGGGGGGGGGGGGGCTGAAGCAGAAACTACCATTGTTAAAAGAAATGTGTTTAACTTTGAAAATGTGGGCGCAATTTTAATTGTCAAAAACTCCAGCGAACCATTAGTTCATTTTGCTCAAATAGACATTCAGGCCTGCCTCTAATTCTGGTCCTCCTTCCAATAAAGGCCTGGAGCTTGATGAGCTTGAGTCAAATACAGGCCTGGGCCTGTATTAGAGGATTTACGGTACTTTACGTTTCTCATCATTTCCTAACTTTTTCTCATCCTAAATATTATTTGTTTCACTTCTAAATTTGCACCACTTCCTGCTGCCTCAGTTCATTTTCATGCATACAGTTCTCTGTTTGGTCCACCAGAGTAGCAGCATGCTGTGTGTTCCCATGGCAATGTGCTAGACCATTACCATGGAAAACCCTCTCACACACTCTGTGATTACTGTTGCTAGGAAACAGAAATACGTCACATGATGCAAGTGGCAGAGCAGTAATCTGGATCCAGAACTCAGTGAATCCTGGTGCTGGTGTTCTGACGGCTGTGTGCGTGTGCGTGTGCGTGTGTGTGTGTGTGTGTGTGTGTGTGTGTGTGTGTGTGTGTGTGTGTGTGTGTGTGTGTGTGTGTGTGTGTGTGTGTGTGTGTGTGAGAGAGAGAGAGAGATTTGAGTAGTGTTGAGTATTGAAAACCACCCCCAAATTTGATCTAAATAAATAAATATGATAAAAATGCTGGTTCAGATATTTATTTCTGAAGTTCTATGAAGAACGTGGACCCATGCAGGTCCAGGTTTGAGGGTTCTGGGATCTTGTTTGGTTCTGTCAGACGTTCCAAGAACCGCCTATGATCCACATCTAAAACTGGATCTGATTAGTCCAGTCTTCAGACGCTGCATGATGCATGACCAGCTGCTGATCATGTGACCATCAGGCTGCAGACTGACACCTGCAAACCCACCACCACCACCACCACCCACACACACCCCCACCCCACCCCCGACACACACACACACACACTTCCTTCAAAAGTTAGAATTCATGTGGACTCACACACCACGTCATCTAGTATGTGTGTTTACCTGCTAACATTAATCAATCCACTGATCAGCTGACCAGTCTGCAGCCTTACAACCGATTACGTCATTCCAGGGCCGGTGATTGATGGGGCACAAATCAGTTTGAATAATGAATTCGGATAAATCACGGCACCAGTCACCTGACGGTGATAGATGAATCGGTTTTACTCACCGCGAGCTGAGGCGGGTTCCGCTCCGGAGTTCGGTTGGTTCCGTTAATGCGCCACCGTCACGAACCGGAGGGCTGCGCGCGCCGGTTTCAGCGGCTTCCTCCGCTCAGTCTTGGAGCGGATGCTGATGCATGGAGCGGAGCTCCCGTCGGCTGACTTCGGCTCCCCTCGGATAGTCGGATAGCCCCCCCCCCCCCCCCCCCCCCCCCCCCGCCCAAACTCTCCTTTTTTTATTCTTTCAGATTATTTTGCTAAATCTCGTTTCAGCTTCAAAAACCCTGAATGATGACAAACAACAAATTCATATTCAAAACTTTATTGTCATCTGTACAGTGACAAACGTCATTAAGGGGGGGGGAATTTCTACTCTCCTGCCCACTGGATGCCAAAGGAATCATTTAGGTGTAAATATATAATTAGATGCATGAAAAACAGCCAGTCAATCTAAATATAAACTGTAAGGAAACATAAACTCATGTTTACCATGTACCTACCTACTCATGCAGATGATGAGCTCCATTAGCTATTTGCAGCAGTCATTGGTAGATTATAGATTTAGGTAATCCCAAATCAGACAAAAACAGACTAACAGCCAAACAGCTCGGGGTTATCGGCTCAGGAGTTCCTGCATTTCACACCAGTACCTCCAGCCTGAAGGTAGGAACATAAACATAGCTTTGGGGGGGGGACAGGAGGGGACCCCCCCCCCCCCCCCCCCACACACACACACACACATACACACACACTTTTTCCAAAGTCAATTTCTGCCACCTGCACTTTTTACCATCTAAATACAATATTACTCTGTATTAAATAGACATTGGTCGAGCACTAGGACCAAGCGGAAAACAACCGCTTATGTTGAAGCCTGTTTCCCATTACATGTTTTGTATACTTTTAAAAGTTAAAGTCCCATTAGTTGTCACACACAAAGGTGTGTGTGCGAGATTTGTTCTCCGCATTTGACCCATCCCCTGGGGGAGCGGTGAGCAGCAGACACAGCCGCGCTCGGGAAATATTTGGTGGTTTAACCCCCCAATCCAACCCCTTAATGCTGAGTGTCAAGCAGGGAGGCATTGGGCCCCTTTTTTTTTCTAAGTCTTTGGTATGACCCGACCAGGAATTGAACCCTGATCTCCCAGTCTCAGGGCGGACACACTACCACTAGGCCACTGAGAAAGGTTGCCAGTTGTGCCCCCCCCCCCCCCCCCCCACCCCCATCACCTCTAAAGTCAAAACTGTGTCCATGGGTAGTATGAGTCCGTTTGGGGTGGGAGGGTGGGGTGATGGTGATAAACTAAAACTGGATTATTAATTTCTCAGGGATCATTAAACTCCCAGCTTTGTATAATAAATCAGTCTCAGGACATCCAGTAGTCATTGGTGTCTGATGGATGAAATCAGGTAAAAGTGCATTAGTCCACCTGTTGGCCTGGGGCAACGCTTGGCTCTGAGATAAAGACCAGTTCTTCATCCTGGTCAGGTGAGTCCTTTAGAGTCTCACACATTCAGACTCAGAGCTGGCCTCTGAGGGGAGGGGCACATCTATATAGTAGACCAACTTGTTGTTTGGTGGAGGCGGGTCAAGTGGGGTTTCCTTCTCAGACTCTGGGGCCATCACCTGAGAAGACAGATTCATGGGCGAGTACCTTTTCTCCAACCGGTTGAGGGGAACATTGCGTCTGGCTCCACCTCCTGCAGAGAGCCTAACGTGCACATCTGCCTTTGGTTTGAACCGCTTCAGTCTGACATTGTTTTTGGCTTCACGGGCACACGGCAGCAAAATTACCACGTCCTTTCGAAACTTGGAGCTGAGTCCAAAGTAGATGAGAGGGTTGTAGAAGCTGGCAGACTTGGCAAAGAGGCGTGTGAAAATACTGGTGAGGTTGGGCACATGGAAGCCCCAGGCAGACCACATGGACACCACCGCATATGGAGACCATGCCAGAATGAAGGCTGTGCAGATCACTATAGAAACCTGGAGGTAAACACAGAAGTTACATTATGCTGAACGTTTGTAGAAAATTATAATAACAGGTTTAAAAAAAAGGTTGTTTATCAATGTTCTGGTTAGTCAGTGTCACATGGTCCCAAAGGATGAACTTCAAGGGGTGAGTGGGTCAACTCCAGTATCAATAGTAGCAAAAACAATGTCAGTATCAGCACTGGATTGACACTACCATGATGATTATCTTAGATATTAGTTATATAATCCTTTATTTTACCAGGTAAAATCTCATTGAGATGTTTAATCTCATTTCCAAGAGTGACTTGGTCCAAGAAAGCAGCACAAAATTAAATTAAAAGTTAATTAATTAATTGAAGATTAAATTTAAGTAATTAATTAATTAATTAAATTGGGGTTTGTTTTCAGAAGAGCCGTTCCAACGTAAATACCAATCATAAATCATCAGAGGCTGCATCTGAATAAAAACAGAGTGGAGTTACCAAAACCAAACTAAAAGGAAAAACAAAAAACAGGCATGGTGTAGCCGACTGGGATTAACACGAGAGATCTTCAGGTGTGGCCAGGTGTCTAGCCTCCCTATTGACCCTTTGCACATGACGTCACGCCACTCATGAGACCGCCCCCTTCGCCATGATGGACGGCAAAAAGATCGTTTACGCCCGTAGAAACTCCTGAGAAGGTAGTCGAAACAAGCCAGTTTGTAGCCTTTTATGGCTTTTATTGAGTTGATTTGACAGTAAAATGGTTTGAGCTTGCTGCGTGGTCGGCTGCACTAACAGACAAGGATGTAAACTCAACTCGTTTTGTTTTTTAATAACTTTGATGGAGACTGAGGACGGAGATGAACTGCTGCTTCAAGCAGACTAGCAGCCCTCAGATTAGCAGCGAACATGTTTTTAGCGGGTAAGATTAACGTTCATTTATTTCACGAGGAAGACAGGGACAGGGATAAATGTGATGTGTTTAAACTAGTTATTGATAATCCTGATGCGCCCCGTCCACTGTAGTGTAAAGCGAGACAATTATTAACAATATTAAAGCTCTGATGTATGCATACGTGTGTTAAAATGACGTTATTTATTTATATGAGCGTCGGCGTTCAGAGATCTTCTCATTCCGGTGTGAGAGCAGCAGCTGAACCCGGTAACACCACCAGCAACAGAAGCTGGTAGGGATCCGGAAGTTTAACGCTGTTTATAACATAAAGTTTGAAATCCAGAGGGTTGAATTTAGGCAAAGTCAGCAACATGTTTACATCGGTGAACAGCTGCAGAGAGAACGTAAGCTAACGTTGGTAAGCTAGTTAGCATACCGCTCTCTATGAGCCCCGCTAGATGCGCTACCTCTTCTGATAACTGAACTGGGCATGAACTAGTTGAAGGAATGCTGGAGCAGTTTTGTTTTTGTTTTGATCGCAAAAACAATTTCAGTTTCTACTTTTCCCTTTGTTTAGTACTCGTGTCGCTCACTGTTGACATGCTTTTGCCGTCCACCATGGTGGACCCACGTGACAACCGGAGTTAACTGTGCACAACACCAGAGCTTCTGAGTCAGAGATACGCCTGGCTGACCGCTGGGTAAAACCGGGTGGAACACAGAGGTCTCCGAGAGCTCCACAAGCCGATAGTGGGAACCCAGCTCCACCAACATGTTATATTTCAACCCATTTTCTAAAGTGCAGCATTATGTTAAATGCACTGGGTTTTACCCTATTACATTTAAATTTCATGGTTAAACAGTACATGTTAAAATCTAAGCTCAGCTCGGCAGTGACCTAAAATACATAAATATAATTTTACTTACCGAAAAAATGAAGTGGAGACTCCTTGGACGCTCTATTAGTGCAATTAATGCCACAGCAAGTCATTTTGTCCAACAATTGCACAAAAATATCCAAACAAGAATACACACACACAGAGACTCAAAATCCCGGAGCAGTTTCCAGGCCAGACCGAGGCTCTACTGAGGCCTTTCCACGGAGCTAGCTCTGTGGTCACGTGGGTCTGATGCTCATTAATTATACAGAATTTTAGGCTTTTAATACACTTAAACAGAAGAGTGAGAAAAAAATTCACCCCCTCAGAGTTGTCATGAGTGTAAACTAGATCATTTAAACCTAAAACATGTTTTGGAACGAGGCTGTAAACATGTTTATTTCTGCTGTGAAATTGGTATTTTTAACATGGGAGCCAATGAGGATTTGCTCGCTTCTGACACCAGCCCCTAGTGGATGAGGGTGGAACTGCAATTTTTGGTACTTCCGGGTTGGAGTCAATTTTTGAGCCGCATTGTGGGGGCTTGGCTTCAACACAAATGGTTGTTTTCCGCTTGGCCCTAGCGCTCAACCAGTGTCAATTTAATATAAAGTAATATTGTTTTTGGATGGTAAAAAGTACAGGGGTCAAAACTTGACTTTGGGAAAAGTTGGGGGGGCATGTCCCCCCTGTGCCCCCAAAAAAATTACGTCCATGGTGTGAGCAGTCAGGTCGCATCCGAGAACCGGGTCGAACAGTGTGAGCACATGACTCGTGAGATCTGCCCTGCGAGGAAGTCGTACAGTTTGAGCTGAAGCTGAGTGCTACGAGTGAAAAAGTCGCACAGTGTCCGCCCAGCTTAAGTTGGATGCCACCCGCCATTTAAACTAAAGAAGAAGAAAGAAGAAGAAGTCTCCCTGCCAGATCATCGACAGCCTTGTGCCATGTAGAGACTCCAGCGATATTTTCAACCAAGCCGTTTGACTTTTCACCACGTTTTCTGTCCACGGATTCTCTCGCCCATCCGTCATCTGGACCCTTACCTTGGCTCTACCTTTGACTACTGATCCCTGCTCAACCCCCTGATAAGTACTGCTGACTTCTGCCTGTTTGTGTATGACCTTGCCTGTACCTCACTCTGACATGGGATTTTTGGATACTTGAACTTCTGTGGGCTGTACTATCATTTTGAGGAGAGGAGTTGAATCCACAGACCGAAGAGAAGCTCCCATAGCTGGCGCCAACAGTCCCGCCCCCTCTCCCTGTCATCGCAGCATATGCTGCTCCGTCTCCAGTTTTCCTATCACCAGAATCTTCTGGGATTCCCAGATTCTCCCACATTTTAAATAAACCTTCTTTAACGTTTTACTGCTGCGTTCTGCTAGCCTGGCAAGCCAGACTAAATAAATGTATTATTTAAACTTTGCAAAGCAAGAATTTGGTCTAGTTCACTAGGCTAGCGTTCTGCCTGAATTTCCGGGTCTTCTGGTTATACCCATTACAATAAGGGTTCAGAAAGAATCTGAACTAAGTCGGATAATAAATGGGGTCCTGTGACGTCCAGATATTCAGCGCCTAATGAAGGCCTGCTACGATTTTTGGCCAAAAATGGGCCGTTCCCATCTGTACCGGGTCGGCCCGGGCCGGGTAGCGTAGGTTGTTTACATATCTGGGTGGCCTGGTATTTTTCCGGGCCAACCAAGGCTCATTCTCAGCCCTCTTCTCGAGGGGGTCTGCTTCAGGCCGACCAGGGCCAACACACCCACTGCTGACAGCAAATTCACACCTTCCATTAGAGCAAGCCTCTGATTGGTGGGTAGAATCAGCCCACATGGGCTTAAGACAAGGATGTGTGGAATCAACCGGGCCAGGCTGGGGCCGACTGGGGCTACCCGGCCCGGGCCGACCCGGTACAGATGGGAATGGCCCAAAAGATGCCAAGAGGAGACTTTGACTGATTAACTGTATATCCAGACATTTTCAAAAACAAATGATTCTCAAGAGGAAGAGAACATTCTGGCTGTGATACTGTCATCAACATAAAGCATCAACTTATGATTACATTTGTGAATTTGGAAACCTGGAAAATCATGATCTCAGCATATTGTTGCTGCTGAAGACTCCAAAGTCAAAGTAAAGAGAAGCGAGCTCAGCAGGCGGCCCTGTCTCTTACCTCTGTAAAGAGGGAAGGACTAAGATATCATACAGTTCATTGATAGTGAAGGATTTAGGTTGTTATAGTTGTTTGATCCAACTAATGCATTTTGGGCCAACCCCAAAGGATTCCAACACACAGGATAGAGAGCAGGACTCTACTCTGACAAACACTTTCCTGGGAAAGAACAGAGGGCTCTTTTGGGGGCTGCTACTGCTACTCGCAGAGCTACAAGTCTGGAGAAAGCCAACCTGGTTAGGGAGTACGAGGCTAGTCATGACTGTTTAATCTGGTTGCTAGAACCTTAGCTAATCAGGCTTATTGCTTGGTATCCTTTACAGCCTTGTTTTTTTAAAGAGCAAGTCACCTCCTACCAGAGTCTTACTCCACTCCCCACTTCCTGTGTGAAAAATGCAACAAATGCTGTTTCCTGGCAGACTGAGAGGGCGGAGCCACTAAGAAATACACACACACACACACATACACAGGCTCACAATGGCATTGTGACATCATATGGTACCAGCTGATGTCATAGGGTACTGCGTAGCCAATAGTTATGGCAGATTTAAATCTGACAGTTTTAGGCAGAAATTTTTAATTTGAACTAAGATGCACTAAAGTGAGCTTTGGGTAGTGACCGGAAGAATGAGATCGTGGATACAAGCGGCCGAAATGAGTTTTCTCCGTAGGGTGGCCGGGCTCAGCCTTAGAGAAGAAGAGGGTGAGAAGGTCGGTCATCCAAAAGGGGTTAAATGGCCTGTATTTGATATAGCGCCTTCTAGAGTCCTGGAACCCCTCAAGGCGCTTTACAACACAATCAGTCATTCATCCATTCACACACACATTCACACACTGGTGGGGATGAGCTACGATGTAGCCACTGCTGCCCTGGGGCGCACTGACAGAGGCGAGGCTGCCGAGCACTGGCGCCACCGGTTCCTCCGACCACCACCAGCAGGCAATGTGGGTTAAGTGTCTTGCCCAAGGACACAACGACAGCGACAGACTGAGCGGGGCTTGAACCTGCAACCTTCCGATTACGGGGCGAGCACTTAACTCCTGAGCCACCGTCGCCCGTCAAGTTGGAGTAGACCCGCTGCTCCTCCACATCGAGAGGAGCCAGTTGAGGTGGCTCAGGCATCTGGTCAGGATGCCTCCTGGACGCCTCCCTGGTGAAGTTTTCCATGCACGTCCAACCGGGAGGAGACCTAAAGGTAGACCCAGGACACAGAGGAGGGACTATGTCTCGCACCTGGCCAGGGAACATCTTGGGATTCCCCCAGAAAAGCTAGCCCAAGTGGCTGGGGAGAGGGAAGTCTGGGCTTAGGCTGCTGCCCCCGCGACCCCACTCCGGATAAGAAAATGGATGGATAGATGTCTACAGCATGGTCAGACACTCGTTTATATAGTTTATCAGCAAAAAATGTTGATTTGGGGGTGACTTTCTCAGACAACTCTGAGAGAGCAGAGATCATCACAGCTTGTAGGACTTCACTCACTCTTACTTTGCTCAGCTTTGGGAGATAAATCCTCCAGTTCTACAGGATTTACACTGTCTGGAGTCAGGATCGTTCTCTGGGTGTATGGCACATTAATCCTCATGACTTCTCCTGACTCTTTGATAGTGTGACTCTGACTAGCCAGAAGATTGGTGAATGCAACAGTTTAGTTTTATTTGTGAATATCTACTCCTAAAGCCTACAGGTTGTGGATTTAGAGCCCAACAGAACTAAAACACTCACAACAGTGACGTCCCTCTCAATTTTCCTCTGGTGGTCTGTCAGATCCCCATCTGCAGAAAGGGCATTGCCCCTCTTTACTGTGTTGATGATGGAAACGTAGCAGAAGAGCATGACGAGCACAGGCACAAAGAAGCAGAAGATGAAAATGGAGATGATGTAGGACCTGTAGATGATGGAATAGCTGGCTTTAGACCAGTCAATCTCACAGGTGCCGTATCCTCGGTCTGCACAGCGGTAAAAAAAGAGAGATGGAGGGAGCTTCAAGAGGAAGGGGTTGGGATGGAATACAGCAGCATGTGCTGGGTGTCCTACCTGTGTAGCTACCCCAGCCAAGCAGTGGTGCCCCAGACCAGAACCCAGCAGCCATCCAGACGAGCAGCAAACAAATGAACACACTGCTCCCAGTGACAAGATATGCTCAAATACAACAGAAACATTCATGTAAACTCCACGTGTTCATGGTCTGGGTCAGTTTATGGACTATTGGTTCTGGTTGGATAAACTAGCAGAACCAAGTCCTTTTGCTGCTGGTACCTCGGCTTGGGTGACATCCTTTGATGTAGCGGGTGATGCTGATCATCATCAGCGTGTAGATGCTGCTCAGGCCAAACAGCAGAGTGAAGAAACCATCAATCTGAAGGAGAGAAATGACCCATCAACAGCTGATGGATGGATGGATGGATGGATGGATAACGGGTGTGACTAAGATGGGCAGTACCTGGCATGTCCAGATGGAGGAGATGAGGTAGTCGCTGTCCTGGAACAGGTTGAAGATCTCAATGATGCCTCTGGAGTAGCCAAACACAGAGATGCCGGCATCAGAGAGGGCCAGGTTAAAGGTCAGGTAGTCTGTGGGCTGTAGAGAGGCTCTCTGTCTGTACAGCACAAAGATGACAATGCTGTTTCCAAACCAGGACATCCAACCTGAGCCAGGACAAAAGGATGGGTCATTTTCGTCTCAGTGAGTGGGTGGGTTGTTTTCTGCTTTTTGTTCAGAAATTTGAGCAACACCAACTGTTTTATAACTTTAAAATTAAATGTGATCTAAGTAAAACTTGACTTGTTCCTGTTTTCCTGAGTCTTGTGTGGTATGCATTTCGGTGTTGTGCTGTGGTGTACCCACCCAGCAGCAGAAGGTAGACTCCGATGATGGTCTCTCCTTGGTCTGACAAAGGAGGGTCCCTGCCCCCTCCCAGATTGAAGCTGTGGTTTCTCCAGGGGGCACCGGCTGCTGCAACACTGCTGAACGACATGTTGTCCGTGTTTTCTGTTGCATGTTTTGTATTTAAATGCTCTCCACTGCTAATCTGAGGTAAATATAGCAGCTGATCCTGGTTCAACTCTTAGATCAGCAACAGGACATCACTCAGCAGGTCACTGTGGAACCTGATCTCTGATTGGTCAGCTAATCTGCAGTTAAGAGTGTCAGTCTGTCCTTCGGCTTGTTTCAACGATCTGATCAGCTTTTTGTTTGGTCCCTTGTAGTTGTAAATGTTTCAGGGTGGGCCCTTTGGAATCCTGCTGGATCAGAGGGGGACTGGTATCCTCGCACACAGTCAGCTGGTCTAACATAAAATAATCTAATGTTGGTTGATCTAAAGTGATCTAATTTAGTGGGGTCCTGGGATTCAAAACCATTTTTCCCAAAAGGCCAATGCAGTTTCTGAGCTGCTTTCCTAAACCAAATTTGTAAAGGCCACGGATAAATGGTTCATCTGAGAAACACCTCATAAGCTTAGACATCCTTAGTGTGCCCACTCACTTTAATGTTGGCAAGTAAAAGCACCTGTCTAAATAAGCGCTTTGTTGGAATCAAAAAGTGCATTTTTAATCTAGGCACATACAAAACGGGATCAAAGAATTTTTTTTTATTATTGCTCTGTACAGACATTTTTTGTATGACAGTAGGGGACACGTGGACCATAATGGGCGTGACTTAGCTAATTAATGTCTAAAAACATTGTAAACATAATAATTTGTCATTTTATAAATGATAATGACCCCATTGTCTTCCATACAAATGAGGTTTCTGCTCTCCTTTCGGTGACTTTAGTGAAAACGTTTCACGCGCAGCTCGACTTCCTCGCGCCCTCGTTTGTTTGGTAGGTTCTTGTCGCTCCACGTGTTCGTTCAAAAGTTCTGCCGGAAAAGATTCTGACCATAAAAAGAAAGGATGCGCCATAAAAGGAAGTGTCGTTCTCTACATGGCAGAAAGTAGTTCCAGCACCTGTGTAATTGTGTGTATCACTGCGCGCTCTCGTCTTTTAATCGTCCTCTGTATTATCATGTTTGTGAAGCCTTGACGTGTGTTTTTCTAGTCACTAGTGGACAAACCAACCACTAACACGTAAAGGTGTAAAACGGCAGCGGTAAACCGGATGTGGAGGTTCGGAAGCGAGGGTTTCTGGAGCGGAGTGATCTGGGGGCGGGCCTCACTGCTTTCCCCTGAAAACGATGAAAACAATCTCAGCGTCTGTTTCGGGTAAAACGGGTTAATCTGCGCTATCTTCATGCAGAAAAGATGCTTTTGCGTGACCGTGACGTGTGGCGGCCGCCGCTGATTCCTGCGGAACTTGGACTTGATAAGAGAATCAATTAGCTCCGTTAGCCGCGCAGCTAGCGGCGCACCGGCCTGAGGGTCCCGGGGAACCGTTAAGCCAGACACAAGTCAAGCAACGGGACGTTCTGTTGATCCAGTCCAGTTAACGGGTCTGGGATGGGAACCAGAACTGGGCCAGAAAGCGCGGCTAATGGGCTGAGCAGCCCTCCGGCGGGCACCGCTGGGCCCGCACAGAACACACCGTCCGACACCGACGAGGACCGCGAGTACGTCGCCGAGGTGATCTACAGCGGCTCCGAACAGGACTCTGACTCCGGAGACGACGAGGAGACGGTGGGGTCCAGCGGGGACCGACGGGGCGTGAAACGGGAGAGAAGCGTCAATGAGGACGGGCGTCAGTCAGCGCCTTCCGGGTGTCTGAGCCGGGGCTACCGCGGGGGGAGCCCTGCTGTGTCCGGGGTCAAACCCGGGAAGAAGACCCGAGGCAGAGTCAAAATCAAGATGGAGTTCATCGACAACAAACTCAGGCGGTACACAACCTTCAGCAAGCGGAAGACCGGTATCATGAAGAAGGTGAGGGAGGCGTGGGGTCACCGGTAGCAGCAGTGTGTGTGTGTGTGTGGGGGGGGGGGGGGGGTCTAGATTTCTGCAATCAAAATGAAATAGTCTCTACCTCAGGTAGGAATCAGGATGGTCCCGACTTGCGC